GAATTAACCTAAAAAGTAAATGAAATGACAAATCAGCGATTAAAAAAAAAAAAAAAAAAAAAAAAAAAAAAAAAAATATAAAAAAAAAAAAGAAAAGGGACTAGTTGTATTCACTGAAGTTCAATAAGTCTCTCTCAACATTGCTTGCCTATACAAATATAAATAAGAACAGAGAAGGGACTAGTAATATGTATTGACTGAAGTTCAACAAGTCATCGAGTACCTCTCTCGACATTGCTTGCCTATGCGACCTGGCAAGGACTTTGCTATTTCAGACCATTTCTTGTTGCCCTGCTTCGCGACCAGCTCAATTATTAGATCATCTTCCTGGAAGTTCCAACAAAAATAAGTCACAACCATATATTACGAGCATCGTTAGAAGTGTAAAGAGAACTAATGCAATATTAATTCACCTCCTTGGACCAAAATCCTTTAACAAGATCAGGATTGAGAACTTTCTGCCAGCGATGAAGGCACTGAACATCTGTTCTGTCAGGAACACATTCAGCTGCAAAGAATCTTCAAGTTTGTCAAACCAACGTTTGAAGAGAGATGGAGAGTGATATATACACACACGCATGTAGAGGGGGAGCGAGGTCATTAGAAATTTAATATTGGTAGCATACATCTCCTCCAAACAAACAAAACCGACTTAAGAAAAAAGTGATGGAGCTTTGTTTCACAGTATCTAAGAAGTCTTTTAGTTCTCAAAATTTAATGAAAAGCAATTGAAGCTAAAAAACAAAACAAAACTCATAAAGATATGAAAAAGAATAAAGTCATATGCAGATACACACCAATCTTTTTCCAGTTTCTGCCATTGAACTTTTGGACAGCATGGGCTAAAATTTTATCCTGTAAACAAGACATCAAGAGGCATACATTCATTATTTGATATAGAAACTTGAATGTCAAGCAATCAAAAATTAACTATACTAACATAACCTAAAGTTTCTCAAGCACAAACCAAAATAAGCGCCAAAATGTAACAATTTTTAGAATACATGACATCTTCTTTCCCCAACACACACAAAGCTAGAAGTCCTACATGTACAAACTTTCTGTACTCAGCTTAAATCACTGAGAACTGAATGGTACAACTACCAATAAACACAAAAGGGCCATCTTTATATTTCCTATTCACTTATCTTTCTAAGAAGCTACAAATAGCACTCGTAACTATTCAAATAAACCATACAACATCCTCTACTGACCTCCTCCTCTGTCCAGCCGCCCTTTGTTGATCGTCTTATAGGACCAGCCATTCTCCTAAATATGCACACAAAGTTAATAACTTCTAGGTCATGCCATGTCATAACATAATGATTCAAAATTCATAAATTCTATAACAAAACAAATATGGTAATGCATAATTGTTTTCAGCAGCTTCTTATGCTCCACAAGAAGATAGCAATAATAAAGGAACATACATCTATTCAGCTTGGACAGACTGAGTTCCTCATCGTAACGAAAAACCCAAAATTCAAATCAACATCATTTTATTTCCCTCAAGAATTCTCGGAAACAGAAAGGCATACAATTTGCACCACTGAACTATGAGAATTCACAATCACACTATTATCTGTAAAAGGATTATTATAATACAAAGTTTACAAACATAGCTAGAGTTCACTTATGCACAATGCAAAGATGAAAAGAAAGTACAAACCCTTGCAAAGAGGCTAGATTGAGAACTGCATTATCGCAAGTGCTACCAGATACTGAAGGGCTCAGAGAAACCAGACCCTCCTCTTTCAGATTACCATCAAATTCTTTAACTTGTACCATGATTTTTCTTCTCTCTCAAAACCCAAATTCTATTGGATACCAACTTCTTTAATGAAGCTTTCAATTCCAAGCACGAACTGCAAGTCCCACTCATATAATAAACCCAAACCCGCCTGATAGAATTACAGGAAAAATAATAAATACAATAAAGGATTTGAAAGACACTGACTTTTAGTATTTAAGAGTCAAGGCTCAAACATTGGGATACAGTGAAGAAAACAAAGGATCAAAAGCAAAATCAACGGAAACGTTAAGTTCTGAAAGAACCCAAAAAGAGTTTGTTTTTATGAAAACGCTCTCATGATTTGTGAAAGCACTGTAACGGCTAAAAGCAATGCTAAAAATGCGGGAAAAAACAATTAAATATGAGTTGAGTGGGATCAGAGGGGGTGATGGGTTTGGAGAAAGCCATTGATGGTTGACGTGAAAGCTTCGGTTTTTCAGAGAGAGAGAGACAGAGTTAGAGAGAGAAAATTCGCGGGAAAGTGAGAGAAAGTGAGAGAAAGTGAGAGGGTAGGATCGCAGGGGTAGAGTCCAATCCAAACAGCACTGTAATTTATGACATGTTTAAAACTTCCCATGATTCTTCTATGAACTCTTTGTAAAAGGCCTTCAATTCAAGTGGTGGACTCTAAAGGAAACTCCTATAAGCCGGTTCTCAAAATTTGTGTCTATTGGGCCAAAACCTGTCGGTCCAAATTTTCATGGCTTCTTAACTCAAGCCCAAATGTGAATCTGAATCAACATGTTAATTAGTTTAGTAATCAAGCGCAAGTTATCTAATCAAGTGCAAAATCTAATTTATTGTACTTTTTTTAATTCCTAAAATACCCCCAACTAAATCATTATTGCATTTTTTATTTATATTAATATAGGAATTAATTTGGAAACCTTTTTTAAATTTAACAATAAATTCGGATTTAACATACCTAATCAGTTTATTTAGTACAAAAATGTTTATTTATTTATTTATTTATGAAGTATAAGTGATTAATTATCTATTATATTATTGTTTTATAAATTTAATAGAGTAATACAATTTTATGTTGAAAAAAATAACGTACCTATTACTTCTTTTACAAAAAACAATGTACCTTTTTTTCTCTAATTAATGTACCTACTTTTTTTTTCTCTAAATAATGTACCTAATTTTTTTTTTCTAAATAATGTTCCTATATTTTCTATTAAATAAAAATATGATATTTATATTATTTTTATAGGTACATTATTTATTGGATAAGTAATTTAGGGGGGTTTTTTTTTGGTACAATTTTTTAAAGAAATTGCCGATAGGTTAGAGGGAGTAGTGCCAACCAAAAGAAATGAGGTGTTTGATATGCTATTAATAGGAAGAATTAATTATAATTAAGGCAGTTAATGACATGATTGAAAATAAATATGAAGGTAAATGTCATGTATAGTAATTTAGTTAATAATACTAGGACAAATCTTACATGGCATCCTGTTTTAAATTTGAGTTTTAAGTAAAGACTTAAGAGTAGTTAGGTATGTATCTAGGATATAGTAGTTGGAAGGGTTATGTTGGAAAAACCCTAATTAGTTTGGTGGCAGGTTTTGCTTCAAATATAAATAGGTTTTAATCACCAAGTAGCTGCTTGTTTTGAAGTACTCTCCTACCCTATAAAAGGATTTTAATTCATTAAAAAATAGTGATTTTTTGTTTTTTGTGGTGGTAGTTCTATGTCAAATATTTAGATAGGTCACATGACAATACCTTATTGTCTCGTGACATGCTAAAAAATTCATTCAAATATAATAAGGTAAAATTCACACATAGGTATATTAAGATTCACACAATGATACTACAAGGTTCATATTTGATCTAAGTCTCTATGATCCTTTCTTTATTATGACTCAAAATGTTATATATATTAAAGCTTTTTTACAGTGTATCTTACATGGCAGGATATGGAATAATTTGAGTTAGATACATGTCATGAATAACAAAAAGAAATAGATATATAGAGTAGGTGAACTCAAGTGATAATGATTCATCAGTGTTGTCGCCACACATAAAGATTGATTTGTAATGCAGTTCCAACCAAATCATCACCAAACTCAAATTGACATAAAAGGGAGAAATGAAAGTGACATGTCGTATGGTAGAAATCTACAATTACAAGCCCCGTCAACTTCAATTCTGCCGGGGGCTTTTGGTAAAAGTGGTAAGAAAATACTTACTATTTAATATAGCAAGTCAGAAAATCGTCGTCTAATTGTCGCATCAACTTCTTACAAAACTGCACCAGCCGTGCACTGCTCTGGTTAAATCACTCACACCATCTTTTCCTCTTCTTCTGCCTCAGACTCTTCCTGTGAATTGAATTTCGTCCATATTCCAAACCAAACATGCCTCTGGGAACGCTTGAAGTCGTTCTCGTTGAAGCCAAAGGCCTCAAGAACACTGATTTTCTCTATAACTTTCTCTCTCTTCCCCTGTATTTATATGTTATGAATCTTGAATTCTTCACATTAATTTCTGTTGGTAATTTTATGTAAGTCATGAAATATGAATTTTGGGTTGCTTGGTTGTTTTCGGATTTACCAGCTGTAGATCTGAATTCTTTGCTTCTTATATCAGCTGAGCTCAATGTTGTCAATTTCAAGGCTTGATGATGACCATGTTTTTTTCGTTTCTGCATTTTGTGAATGTAAAAATCAAGTTGAATCTTTGATGAGTACCCTCAAAAGTAAAGAAATCGATGAATTTTGCTTAAACCCTTTTCATTGATCCACAGTAATTTTTTAAGTGATGTAGAAAAGATCTAATTTTTCACTGGTGTTTTTCCTCAACCCATCTGATCTTTATGTCTGATTCATTTTTGTTTTTGTTTTTTGATATGTGGGTATTTTGGGTTTGGTTAATATCCGGCCACTGTTGGTATCAATTTTATTTTTAAAAAAAGACATGATCTTTATGGCATATAGCAGTCCATCTGATCATCATTTCCTCATTATTAATTCTGAGATCAATATAAAAAACATATGTAGGTGTTTGGCAGAGTCAAGAAGAGTATACTTTCTTTTTTTCTTTTTTTCTTGTTGGGATGAATATAATACATTTTCAAAAAAGCCAGTTTAACTGTGATCAAGATTCTGTAAGCTGCACTTTGTCTATTGATACAGTTCATTATAAACACGATATTCACTTTTAAAATTTATCTGCATTAGATTTCTGAATATGCTCATGTATGTCATGGGTTGACTGCTTTGTGGCAGCTAAAATTGATCCCTATGTCGTTTTCACTGTGAAGACCCAGGAGAAGAAAAGCAATGTGGCCAAAGGTAACAGTGTTCTAGCCATATTTCATTGTTTGTGCACATTCCCATCCAATTGTTTTAACTTTCGGGTGAACTATATGTGTTAAGTTGCGTGCGTGCAGTTTTGTATGAACTTTGTTATTAGAAACATTGTACATGCAGGGCAAGGAAATGAAGCAGAATGGAATGAAAGCTTTTTGTTTACAGTCTCGGAGGATGTTTCAGAGCTTCGTTTGAAAATAATGGACAAAGATACCTTTACTGCAGACGACTTTGTTGGGGAAGCAACGTGAGTACTAATTTGTCTTTGTGATTTCATCTGTATAGGTCACTTAAAAGTTGTTTCGACGTTGTTCTAGTGTTCTCTCTGGTTAAATTAAGTAAAATGTGTTCTAATTAGATGTGTGATTATCTATGGCGACATGCAGCATTCCTTTAGAGCCATTGTTTGCTGAAGGAAGCCTTCCACCAACTATGTACAATGTTGTCAACAAGGACCGAGATTATCACGGAGAGATCAAAATTGGACTCACATTCACTCCCGAGCCTGAGGTATTTTATATTTTACCTATCAAACTTTAACAGAACTTTTATTCTTGATTGGATTAGAGTTATTGTAATCAGGAGTCAGCATTCTATTGTGTGGTTGTTGGTGGCTGTGTTGAACATCACAATTAACACAATGTTACACTACATTTTTAGCGCCTGTGAATCAATCGGTCTATTAATCTGTTGTTGCAGAGAAGCAACTTTCGTTCCAGAGACTATGCTGCTGAGGAGAACTATGGTGGATGGAAAGAATCATCTTTCTAGGAATGGCCTTGTGATTTGCAATGAAATGATTTAGCTGCTTGGCGTTGGAATAAAGAGCATCAGTCCTGTTTGACTGATATTTTTGTGCCTCAACCTATTTAGACTGATATTTTTGTGCCTCAACCTATTTAGACTGATATTTTTGTGCCTCAACCTATTTAGTGGACTCAAATATTCAGTTAAATTTACTTGTTTTCATACTGGAGATGTTATTTGCACTCTAAAATTCATGCCTATACGCATGCGACCTTATTTAAGGCTCTCCCAACAATGATTTTTTTTAAAGATCAAGTTGCTTGCCCCACCAAATGCACTTTCAAACTAAGATTACGTGATGAAAAAGATTAGTGAGGAAGGAAGGATGAAAATAGTTGGATATTAGTTGGTAAGAGAGCGAAAATCAAATTTGATGGTCTTTTCAACATAAGGGTAACATATGTATTGAAACTTTCATTTAACAAGGGGTTAACATAATCAGCAAAAACTTGTTAAAGAAAGTTCTAAATTCAAATCTCATGGCAAGATATTTTCAGGAAAGAAATTTGATCATCAGTGTTGGTTAAAGATTTTGTATTCAAAGACCTGTTAGCCCCGACCCACATACAAGTCCAAAGTGGAGAGCTCACTTACTGCAAATTTATGTTATTACGGTCTTAATTACTGTTTATTAAATTTCGGTGGGTTGCCCGTTGGCACTTTTCTTTGATTATAGTCAATCACGTTCTCAACAAATTTGTAAATGAAACCAAAGATGTGCCAAGATGCAAATAGTATAGCCGCGCGGCTATACTTGATTTTTTTTTCCTTCATTTTTTGTTAAAAAATAGTAAATAATTTTAGAAAATTATAGAACTAAAATAGGAAAATATAGAAAATAATTTTATAATAATTTACTAGTAACGGAGGCATCATCGTCGTCATCAGCGAAGATTCAGAGTCAAAGTCTCAAAAGCCCGAGAGAGAGCCTTCTCAGTTCTTCTTCGCCTTCTCAATTCTCTCTCTTCGAAATCTCAAATATTTGTATTTATTGTTTTACAGTTTTGTCCGAAAGTCTTGGCCTTTTTTACACCATTGCCATAAGAAAAACCCTAGCCTCACTTGTAGCTGAAAACCCAATTCATAGCTTCGCAATAGCTCTCCTGTCTGAAAATGGGTATTTTGTTCAAAACCATAGCCTTGTTTCCTTTATTGTTTCACCATTTCTCAGCAACCAAACAGAAACAAGCAACAACAACAAAAGGAAATAGGTTCATATTCTAACTCTGCCTGATATTAAAGCAAAGCGTTCAGTTCTTCCTTCGAATTTCTTCTCCTGCTTCTTCTTCATCATCATGTACTGCGAGCTCAGAGAGATTGCTCCGTAGCTTTGCTGTGATGCCAGTTCCGCGACGTCGTTTTATGAAACCGAGTGAAAGATTTTCCAGCCAAATACGTATTTTGAGACGTAGGCGCCTAATCGCAATACGGGTCCTCTCTTTTTACGGGTATAAATAATATAGCCGCGCGGCTATACCAGGCAGTTCCTGATTTTTTTAAAAGATCGTATAGCCCGATGGCTATACTCGATTTAATTTTTTTTTAAAATAGTATAACCGCACGGCTATAACATTTTTAAACGTGTGGGGGCCAAATCGCAATAGAGGCCATCTTTTTTTTTACATGTATAAATAGTATAGCCGGTCGGCGATACTCGGTTTTTTTGTTTTTAAAAAATCGTATAGCCGCCCAGCTATAACTAGAATTTTCTGTTTTTTTTAATAAGTAACGCCATCGGGCTATCCCAGTTTTTTTTTAACTGTATAGCCGCGCGACTATACTCGTTTTTTTAACAAAATAGTCTAGCCGCACGACGATACTTATTTTGACACGTGGGCGACAATACCCGGTTTTAGCCAGGCGGGTTGTCTTTTTTATATGTATAAATAGTATAGCCGCGCGGCGATACCCGGTTTTTTATTTTTTTAAAAAATAGTATAGCCGCGCGGCTAGGCGTAATTTTAAATAATAAAAAATATAGCGGAGCGATAATATTGTTTTTTGACACGTGGGCACACAATTTTTTTACATGTGTAAATAGTATAGCCGTGCGGCTAAACGCGGGAAAAAAAAAGGCCTCGGTTTTGTAAATGAAACCAAAGATGTGCGAAAATGCAACAAATCTGCAATTAGTAACAAATTATCTGGCATTTGCAAAAAAGGTAAAATGTAAAAATTTATAGCGATTAGTTGTTTTCCTTAATTAACAGATTTTGATCGTGCACTGTACAGTACATGCCAGAATAATAAATGAGAAACGGATACGCGTCTTCTCTCCACGTTTTATGGCGGGACTAAGAGTTGAAAACGATGACATGTCGTTTTATGGAACCCAACATCAGGAACCTGTCGTTTCCTAATTAGTCTTTATATGCAATTAAAAACGTCCTGGACTTTGTACCTTCTCCTTCTTCTATCATTCTCTCTCTCTCTCTCTCTCCCTCTCCCTCTCTCTTTATGTCTGTGTTGTGTTCATAGTTTCTTCCAATCCAAACATGCCTCATGGAACGCTCGAAGTCCTTCTTGTCAGTGCCAAAGGCCTCCACAACAATGATTTTCTCGGTAACTCTATATATACATCTCTCTCTCTCTCTCTCTCTGTGTTTTATATGAACAATATTGGATCAATAAGATTATTAATTTAATATATGAAGGCCAATATTGTTCTTATATTAATTGACACATGAGAAATGATTTCTGGGTTGCATTGCATTGTTGCTTTCTGCTCGATCTCAAATCTGAATTCTTAATTTGCTTTGTGTATATATTTCTTAATGCCTAGCTAGCTGTTACATGATTTTTTTTTCTGGGTTTTCATGAACATGTTTTCTCATGCATACATGTATGTTCCTGATTGTAAAATGTTGGATCTTTGATTGATCAGTACCAGCAAAACAATCCCTCTTCATTGATCGGTAGTAATTTTAAGTCATGTATAAAGCATCTATCTATTTTTTTCCCTGGTCCTGTTTTTCCTCGTCACTACATTGTTTGTCATCTAATTGGTTTAATTTTCTTTTTTGATATATATATATATATATGTCGGTATTTGGCTTCAATTATCTCGTAATTGATCCAGACAGGGGCGGTGACGCTTCTTCCACTTTCACAACCCTTTGAACATGTATAAAACATAACCATGGATTTCAGAACAAATCCCCATAATTTGAAGTTTGTGTGAATAACAAAGGACATGATCATTTACTGACATCATCAGTTTTTTTTACTTCCTTATGATTGTTTTTAGTACTCTTCTTCTAGTTAGCTGATTTCCTTTTTTTATTTTTCTCAAATTTCAATTACAGCTAGGCCTTTTTATGTCACCAGCAGTGTAAACAATCATACATTATATATGTGTTTGGTGGGGTTTGGCATTGTCTGTAAATAGTTTGATATAATATGATGTTTGATTATATATGTCTGCATCATGGGTTGAATTGAATGCTTTTCATGGGCAGCTGACATGGATCCCTATGTCATTTTGACTGTAAGGACCCAAGACAAGAAAAGCACTATCGTCTCAGGTACAGTTTCTTTTTAGCTAGCCGTATCTTTCTTATTTATCATTCCATGCATTTGTTTCAACTTGAAAATGGTCCAAGTGGTTTTCAAACTGTTGTGTTGTAATTGAAAATGTTGTACATGCAATGCAGGGCAAGGATCTGAGCCAGAATGGAATGAAACCTTTTCATTCAACGTCTCCGACGAGGTTGATGAACTTCGTTTGAAAATAATGGACAAAGATAGCTTCAGTGCAGATGATTTTGTTGGGGAAGCAACGTGAGTTCTTTTCTTTTTGTCCTTTAATTTGTATAAGGTTTCTCAAAAAAGTCTGCAGCTAGGCGAGCCCTGTTTGGTTCTTCAAAACTTAAGCTATTAGATGAAGTGACCCAACTGAACTGGTCTATGTGGTTTTATATATCAAACAACCTAGAATCTAGATTAGTGCTAAAAAAAATTCATAGTATCAAATGTGTATTTACTCGTTACAAAATTTGGGTACGGGTTATTGACAGATGACTCATTCAGTCACGGACCTCTCAACTTATTGACGGTTGATTTTGAGTTGGGTGCTCGCATTCTAATACTTAATAGCTACTCTAAATTATCTATATATGGTCGCATGCAGCGTTCCTTTAGAGGCTGTTTTCATTGAAGGAAACCTTCCACCAACTCCATACAATGTTGTCAATCAAGAAAAGGAATATCACGGAGAGATTAAAGTTGGCCTCACTTTCACTCCTGAGGTAGATATTGTTACTCATCCATCAAAAGCTCACTGCTCCTTTGCTCCACTTTTTGGTATGCTTTCAATCTTTTCATAGCTTTAGCCTTTTCATAAATGTGTTTTGTTTATTGCAGGGAGGCAGCCATGGTTCTGGAGACTACGGTGAGGGCTCGGAGAGCTATGGTGGAAGGAAAGGATCATCACATAAAGGAGAGGAAAGCTATGGTGGTGGTGGTGGTGGCGGCAGCAGCGGCTATGGTGATGGTGGTGGCGATGGTTATGGTGGTGGTGGCAGTGGTGGCTATGGTGGTGGACGTGGGAGCGGCTATGGTGGTGGTGGTGGCGGCGGCGACGACTATGGTGGCGGTGGAGTCTATGGTGGTGGACGGGGTGGCGGCTATGGTGGTGGTGGTGGTGACGGTGGTGGTGGTGATGGTGGTTATGGTGGTGGCGGCAGTGGAGGCTATGGCGGTGGTGGCGGCAGCGGAGGCTATGGAGGTGGCGGCGGCGGCAGCTATGGTGGTGGTGGTGGCGGCGGCAGCGGCTATGGTGGTGGTGGCAGCAGCTATGGTACTGGTGGCGGCGACAGCTATGGTGATGGTGGTAGCAGGGGCTATGGTGGTGGACGTGGCAGGGGCTATGGTGGTGGTGGTGGACGGACAGAATCATCGGAAGTCGAAGAAAGCTATGGCGGATGGAACGAATCTTCTCACCGAGGATGACCTTGTGATTAAGAGTGTAATAATGTATTATTGATTACTTAATTAGCTGCATGGTGTTAACATGGGTAAAAAGAATAAAGAGCTTTGCTAGTCATGTTGAAGGTTCCTTTTTGGTTCTACTTTTTGTGGCTCAACTTGTTTTTTATTAGACTGAAATTACCAGTCAACTTTACTAATGGTGATTGCTTTCATCTTTGCTTTTACCCTCCCTCCTCATTATACCTAATTTCCATGATTAGGAGCATCTAATCACACTAATTTCGGTTTGTTGCTACCCAAATTCGATTCAATGTAAACACCTGGCATGTGCTTTTGAGTGTTTCTTCTTTACTCAACGCAATTCTTAACAAACGAGTTTTCAGCACCCATCTAGTCATCCATAATATAATAACTTGTTATGCATGTTACCATTGGGTCAAAATGGCCTGCCTATTTCTTCAACTTCAGTTTAACAATCAAAGCCAACATTAAAATTCAATTGAAGAAACTCCTCTAGTTTTGGAATCGATCTTTTCTTCTTCTTCTTCTTCTTCCTTTTTTTCTTTTTGTAATTATTCCAGGGTCAAATTTATGTATGCTCTTTTTATTTAAACAATCGTAAATACAATAGTTGAATTCTTGTCGTAAGTGTAAGTGCTCTTACCACAAGCACCACTTAAAGATTACGTCTTTCGAGTTACATATATATCTTTTTGTTCATAGAATTTGAAATCGAAATCTTTTCCAACAAAGTGGTGACTGTGTTGGTTGACTTGCCACATATAAGATGCGATAGAGATTACAGAATGTTGTGAGTGTAATTAAGATCTAAACAGCAGAAATTAATTTAACGTTGAGGGGTTTAAGAGTTGAAAATAACATGACACATTACGGAAACAGAACTGAACAAGTCAACTGGTAACTGTAACTAGTAACTAGTAACTGCTAAGAAAGCTATTTAAATAGCTGACAGGCAAATGAATTCATTAAGTCGTTTCCAGCTCAGAAAACTGCAACTTAACTTGTAGACTGCTCCATCTTCCCTCTCTCTCCTGCTTTGGATTTCAATTTTCAACCGATCCAAACATGCCTCTGGGAACGCTTGAAGTTCTTCTTGTTGATGCCAAAGGCCTTGACAACAATGATTTTCTGGGTAACTATCTCTCTCCCTCTGTGTCTGTGTTAAGGATCTTCGATCTGCCAGCTGATCATTTTCTGTATTATTTGTACAAACACAATTTTTGGGTTGCTTCTATGGATCTCAATTCTTTGCTAGCTTTGTCTTATATCTGAACGAATGCTTTTGCCTGACTTTTAAAAGCTTGATGTCCCTGTTTTCTCATGTGTGTGTCTATATATATGTGTGTGTGTATTTGTGTGGGTAAAAAGTTGAATCTTTGATGCACTAACCAAAAACAAAAGAATCAATGAAAGTTCTCATTCGCTTTTGCATAGATCCTTAGCAAATTTAAGTTGAGGAGAAAAGATCTATCTACTTTTGACATGTGGGTGCTTGGATTTACGTATCTCATAACTATGCTAAGCTAAATCAGGATTTTTATTGATACTTTTTTTGGTCAACATATTTGGATCCACAAAGAATTTGATATAAATCTGTTATGCTTTTAATCTTTCTGCTTTAAGTTTCTGAATTTGCTAATTATGTATGTGTGACATGGGTTGAATGCTTTATGAGCAGCTGACATGGATCCCTATGTCCTTTTGACTCTGAGGACCCAAGAGAAGAAAAGCAATGTGGTCTCAGGTACATTTCTACTTCTAGCCATCTTCATCTTTTGTGCACATCCCCCCTGCAATAGAAATTGTTTAACTTTTGGAAGAACAATGGCTTAAATTGGTGCCTGCAGTTTTCAATGAATTGTGTTAAGAACAAAATTGTACATGCAGGGCAAGGATCTGCACCAGAATGGAATGAAACCTTTGTATTTTCAGTCTCTGATGATGTCTCCGAACTTCATTTGAAAATAATGGATAAGGATAATTTCAGCGCAGATGATTTTGTTGGAGAAGCAAAGTGAGTATTTTTTTCGTTTTTCGGTCACTTGAAAGCAATTTGCAACCTCGGAAACTAGGTTTTGAGTTTTAACAGTTCAATAATCTGTGATATATTCTCTGGTGAAAAGAGTATAATTTGTAGTTTCATCTTTCATGTCTAACTTATCCATGGTTGCATGCAGTATTTCATTAGAGCCAGTGTTCACTGAAGGTAGCATTCCACCAACTGCATACAATGTTGTCAATCAGGACAAGGAATACCGTGGAGAGATTAAAGTTGGACTCAGATTCACCCCTGAGCCTGAGGTGCTTTCAATTTACTTTTGTCCTTTTTGGAAACTTTTAAGTTTTCAATGTATGATTGTTGTGTTGAACATCACTGCTAAAGCAATTTTTTGCACCTCCATTGTTAGTGTCTTTACTCTGACTGCATTCCTTATTGCAGCAAAATGACGGTCCATCTGGGGAATATGGTGGTTCCGAGGAGGGCTACGGTGGATGGAAACAATCATCTTATGCAGAGGAGTAGGGCTAGTTTGGATCGGAAGAACTATCTTACCTGGAATAACCTTGTGATTTACAGTGTAATGTATGATGTTCATTTAGCTGCCTGGTGTTGGCTTGAGAAAAGAGAAGGAGCTTCAGTCATGTGGGAGGTTTCCTTTTGGTGTGCTTTTGTGGCTCAACTTGGTTTTTATCAATTAGACTGAAATAACCAGTCAATTTTACTAATGGTGATTGCTTTCATCTCTGCCTTTACCCTCCCTCCTCATTACACTTAATCTCCATGATTAGGAGCATAATCACACTAATGTCGGTTTGTTGCTACCCAAATTCGATCCAATGTAAACACCTGTTATCTACTTTTGAGTGTTTTTTGTTTACTCAACACAATTCTTAACAAACAAGTTTTTAATTAGCATACACCAAATCATCCATAATATAATAACTTGTTATGCATGTTACCATTGGATCAAAATGGCCTGCCTATTTCCTTCAACTTCAGTTCAACAATCAAAGCCAACAATAAAATTCAACCGAAAAAAGTTTCCATCAAACCCGGGGAAACCTCATTACTCCATAAAGCTCCTCTAGTTGTGGGATCAATCTTTTCATTTTTTCAATTATTCAATGATCACATTTTTACATGTTCTTTTTGTTCAAAGAAGCGTGAAGATGGTAGTTGAATTCTTGTTAATAGTGCAATTGTAAATACTCTTTACTGTATGGCCCCGTTCAAAGATTACATCTTCTAAGTTCCATATATTCATCTTAGGCGCACGCAATTAAACTCTTGTTCGTATAATTTGAAGTCAAAATCTTTTCCAACAAAGTGGTGACTACGTCTTGGTTGACTAGGCTCATATATGATGTGATCAGAATGTTGTGACTAGGCTCATATAACATGCCACATTATGGAAACCAACTGAACACGTCAATCCCTGTTCAGCTTCAGACACGCTTGGTAACTGGTAACTAGTAACTAGTAACTGCTATGCTAAGAAAGCTATTTAAATAGTTGACAGGCAAATGATTTCTTCTTCATAAATTGTTTCAGCTCAGAAAACTGCAACTTAAACTTGTAAACTGTTCTCTCTTTTTTCTGTGGATTTCAATTTTCATCCGATCCAAACATGCCTCTGGGAACGCTTGAAGTTCTTCTTGTTGATGCCAAAGGCCTCGACAACAACGATTTTCTGGGTAACTCTCTCTCTCTCTCTGTCTCCCTCTGTGCCTGTGTTAAGGATCTTCGATCTCCCAGCTGAACATTTACTGTATTATTTGTAGAAACATTTATACAAGAGAAATAAATTCTGGGTTGCTTCCTGCTTCACCCTTTTGTGGATCTAAACTCCTTGCTAGCTTTGTCTTATCTGAATAAATGCTTTTGCCTGATTTTTCTAGGTTTGATGACCCTGTTTTCTCATGCGTCTATAAATATGTATGATTGTGTGGGTCAAAAGTTGAATCTTTGATGCACTAACTAACCAAAAACAAAAGAATCCATGAAAGTTCTGAGTCACTTTTGCATAGATCCATAGTAAGTTTAAGTTAAGGACAAAGGATCTATCTACTTTTGACAATGGGGGTGCTTGGATTTACTTATCTTATAACTATGCTAAGTTGAATCAGGAAATTGTTTTTTGGGTCAACAGAATTTATATTTGGATCCACAAAGAATTTGATATAAATCTGTTCTACTTTTTAATCTTTCTGCTTTAAGTTTCTGAATTTGCTAATTATGTATGTGTGACATGGGTTGAATGCTTTATGAGCAGCTGACATGGATCCCTATGTCCTTTTGACTCTAAGGACCCAAGAGAAGAAAAGCAATGTGGTCTCAGGTACATTTCTACTTCCAGCCATCTTCATCTTTTGTGCACATCTCCCCTGCAATAAAATTGTCTAACTTTTGGAAGAACAATGGCTTAAATTGGTGCCTGCAGTTTTCAATGAATTGTGTTAAAAAAACTGTACATGCAGGTCAAGGATCTGCACCAGAATGGAATGAAACCTTTGTATTTACGGTCTCTGATGATGTCTCCGAACTTCACTTGAAAATAATGGAAAAGGATAATTTCAGCGCAGATGATTTTGTTGGAGAAGCAACGTGAGTATTTTTCTTTTTTCGGATCCTTTAATTTGTATATGGCCACTCGAAAGTAATTTGCAGCCCTCAGAAACTAGGGTTTGAGTTCTAACAGTTCAACCTGTGATATATTCTCTGGTGAAAAGAGTGTAATTTATACTTTCATGCCTAACTTATCCATGGCTGTTTGCAGCATTTCATTAGAGCCCATTTTCACTGAAGGTAGCATTCCACCAACTGCATATAATGTTGTCAATCAGGACAAAGAATACCGTGGAGAGATTAAAGTTGGACTCAGATTCACTCCTGAGCCTGAGGTCTCAAATTTTTTTCCCCTCATTTGGAACTTTAAATTTGTAGTCAATGTTCTAGTTTATGATTGTTGTGTTCTATTGTTCTATTTGCACCTACATTGTTAGTGTCTTTACTCTGACTGCATTCGTTGTTGCAGCAAAACGACGGTGCATCTGGGGAATATGGAAGAAATGATGGTCCATCTGGGGGATATGGAAGAAACGACGGTCCATCTGGGGAATATGGTGGTTCCGAGGAGGGCTACGGTGGATGGAAACAATCATCTTACGTGGAGGAGTAGGGCTAATTTGGATCAGAAGAATCATCTTACCCGCAATGACCTTGTAATTTACAGTGTAATGTATGATGTTCACTTAGCTGCCTGGTGTTGGCTTGAGAAAAGAGGAGCTTCAGTCATGTGAGAGGTTTCTTTTTGGTGTGCTTTTGTGTGCCTCAACTTGTTTGATGGATTGAAATAATCAGTCAAGTTTACTGTTTTTGATTGCTTTTGTATTTGCTTTACCTCATAATTATCCCCAATCTATTAAGTAGGATAATGCATAATCTGGTTCAATCTAATGTAAAAATAAAAAGTAGATTGCTTTTGTATTTGCTTTACCTCATATTGGATAATGATTTTTTTGTTTTTCTATCCAGTATTCATACTCAACCTAGAATTCTTAGTAAATAAGTTTTGAAAAACACACATGATTTAATCATTAAAAAAATAGTTTTATTCTACATATTATCATTGGATCTGTTCAGTTCGATGTTGAAAAACCTAAAACTATACTATGCAATTGAATTGCTGTGTCCAAACACTTGGATTGGATTAGATTGAAAAAATGACCTCTCTTTTGGTTTCAATGAAAAAAAAAGAGTTAAAATAATCAAACCAAACCAAAAAATACTCGGGAATTAACAAAACTGGAAAATGCATTAAGAACCAGCAAATAGCATTACAGTGCCAAAGTAGTCTTCCAAAAAAAAAATTACGGTGCCAAAAGAGTTATACTAAAAAGTTAAAACCCATGAAAATGAACAACAGAGTTTTGAATCAGAAAGAGAAACAGTTATTCATTGAAGACTTCTTGCCTAATCGGGTCTTCCAATGCTTCATGGAGGCCAGCTTCGATGTTCTTGCCTGTATCAGTGCTCTCTACTGGGTCAGTGCTTCCCTCCAAGCTACCACTATCCTCACCTGGAGGAGACGATGCAATTGATAAAACACAAGTGAGAACCAACACAATCACTACCAAGGGAACCAACGGTTCAACAACAATGCATTTTAACTGAAAGAGTTTTGTTTCTTCTGCAGCAATCAAAGGGCACCATTATAATGCGAGTTACAGAACAAATTAAAGGGTCCTTGCCCAACTATAAACAGCAGTGTATGATTAATATGCTATTCAAAATAAACTATTTCTTAAAAACTTAGTAAAGTGAGAGACAAAGGTTTCAAACATTTTCCAGTTCAGATATTTACACTGATCCAAAGGCAGTGGCCTAGAGCTCTGACCCAAAAGCTTTCTTCTAGCTCCAGAGCTAGGTCGGGTCCTCCTTGGTATGAAGCCAGCTTTCTTCCGACTCTTATTGCTATTAAAATCCTACAAGAGGATGTATGAGTAAATCAATGTCTGATAGTATAGCAGGGCCTTCTACATATAAAAGGGATTATGTAATTCAATTGGAGAAAGGTATCCATAAATAACAAAAGAAAAGCAAGCCAGCAAGTCTCTTTTCCAGATGTATTATGAGTGGTAATATGAAGGAGGTTCCCTTTCCAAATATATTTTAACAGTAGATGGAACTTTTCAAGGTAGCAATGTATATGTAAAATATATGAGAGACATTAAAATTGCAGAAGACAACGAATCTAAATAAATTAGAGAAGGAAAGCAAGAAAGATCAAACTCACTGGGGCATATATTGAAAGCTTGGCCCCCTTGGCATAGGTCACATATCGCATAAGATCTTCGTAAGTGAAAAAGTGCTGTCCAGTTGCTGGACACCAGTAGCACTGTAACAGCCAAACGTTAAATCAAGAAATCACTCAGTTCCCAAACCAGTTGAAACATCAGGATGAATACAAACATTTAAGACTCATCATTTTAGTTTTCACAAAAATAGTATTTCTTTCCAAGTAGAATTAGTTTTCATCTTTTAAGCCAAGTAACGGGCAAATTGTATACTGCCGTTTGATCTCAGGTAAACATGCCATAGTCCAAAGTACCGATTAGGCTAAACACGCCATATCAAATATTCAATCCATAAACTGGTAAGGAAAACCCAAATAACTTGACAAACAATATTTAATCTTTTACCATCAAAGTTAAGAACTGGGCAAAAGGTATATAAGCGCTCACGCATTAGCAAGCACATGAGCAGAAGATGACATACATTTATGGATACTTATGGAAGATGCCCGACTAAAGATTCCTTTAACATGGATAAAAAGATCTTCCTATATTTGTTATAAAACAATAAGGGAAAGCTTCTGTTCATTAACTGTCAACAATTGGTGATTTGGAAGCCTAGCTCCCTGTGACTACAGGATACATTACTTAAAACTCCACTTACAGCTACCTTGAATAGTGATTAATAAAAAAAACAGAAAATATAAGGCTAAAGCTACACTATTACATTCCTTTTCAATCCAGAAAGGCAAGTTTACATTCAATAAGAATACAATCAAACACAGTGCCACCGAACATTCAAGAAGCAATCCAACATGCATGTTAGGATAAATTATTGCACAATAGATTTAAAACCAAATCAACTAAGTCAATCTAACACCAAAGATAATATCCACTTCCCAATTGATTAAGCTTATGCAGGTGAAAACTTTGATTCTAATACATGAGATTACATCAATTTTCCACTGATAAAACACAATAAGATCATTATTAGAGAAATTAATGAGATTTGTGTTAAGTAACGAAATAAATGAGATTTCAGTTAAATATAAAATAAATGAGATTTCAACTACTAGGGGTTGATATGAATAATGTGCAAAATGAGAATTACATCAGCTAAGGCAATCTACCACCAAAACTGAAACCCATTACAGCAGTAATGCAAATCATGCATGCGTGGAGAATATTGATTGAAACACTTCAGAACTAGAACAGAACAAGAAAATCAAAAGATAAAGAACAGAGCCTGGGAATCACGCGTGTATTTACCGAGGATGTGGATCCGTCCTTTCGGACCTCACTCTTGAACTTCCACCCATCAGGAATTGGAGTGTCGGAAGGCTTATCTCCCATGGTTGAGAATGATTATCTCCTTCAACAATGGTCTAAAAAATCTCTCCCTTCTACCTCCACCCTGCTTGAGGGTCCTTTTAACCCTAAACCTTCGATGCAAACGAGGCATTAAAGGGATAATTCTAGAAAAGGAAAGATGCCTCTGAGTCCACGTGTTCCCATCCACCAGTGTGTTCTGTCGAGGAGCCAAAACATAACTGCAAATAAAGAGAATTAATTCTTCCCTACGAATATAAAGAACAACTGGAAATGACAAACCGGACAGCGCACATTCATGTATCAAGAAAACAAGAAAACAGCGCACCATCAACAAGACAATAGAAACGCTCAAAGGCAGAATGAATGCCAGATAAGAGCAAAGTATTAACAAAAACAAATCGCCTTAGCATTTCAGAGCTAATCTTCAATTTTAATTTTTAATTTTTAACTTTTGGGATAAGATCAGAGATCAAGATCATCTTGATTAGATCCTCAATGTTCCCCTTTATAATCACGAACAAGGAAATTAGTTCCAGGCAATCTGAAGTTCTTAATCTCTATATTCCTATTCTCCCTCAAGGTAAACCAATAATTATAACTTTGAAACTGTCACGTGTTTTGCCTTTTTGACATTTGATTTTAAAATTTCAAGAACTATGTGCTGCAACACCAAACAAGCATATAATGAAAACAATGTACATTCCTGAAGTTAAATTGGTTGTCAACCATGCAAAGAATCAAAAGGAAACACTTTAAGCCCAAAATTATAAGATATTTTTTTGGTAAAAAAGAATCTGGGATAACATATGAGTAGCTTAATGATACACAACAACAATAGAATCCATCAATGTCAGAACACATTTGAGTTCTTACACACACACACACTTGTTTAATAGCATTCCTTACACACACTTGAATTCAGACCTTCCCATCTCTCTGCTTTCAAGCTAGCTAGTAACCTATTGAATGAGATACAAAATCCTTTAACATTTATGAAGTTCTGAATGGTAATTACTGTCACTCTTAACAGCCCAATATTATATAAAACCAATCCAAAATATATAATCACTTTCATAATTGCTGTACTGATTTGAATTTCCACAACATACACACAGAAAATAAAATTACTTGTCCCAAGAAATAAAAATGAGTTGAACATGGCATCATAAAGAAGATAAGAATTAAGAACTAAAGACTGGATGTTAAAAAGCCTAAGATCAATACCATTTTCCCCCAATTGGATTAATATAACTCTACCATAAGTGGCAACAAATAGACCCAACTAGACAAAAAATAGACAATCATGCAATCAAACAGAATGAAAACAATGCAATATCTTACAATAAACACCAAACTAGAAAGTAATATTCTTCCCAAAAAAATTTACATTTTGAAGCCACAAGCGGAGAATGTTTGAAAATTTAAACTACTTCCTTTATTGAACTAAAAACTCTATTTATTTTTCCTTTCTCAAACAATTAGGAACCGTCGTTCACCATTTCTCAGCAACCAAACAGAAACAAGCAACAACAACAAAAGTAAATAGGTTCATATTCTGACTCTGCCTGATATTAAAGCAAAGCGTTCAGTTCTACCTTCGAATTTCTTCTCCTGCTTCTTCATCATCATCATGTACTGCGAGCTCAGAGAGATTGCTCCGTAGCTTTGCTGTGATGCCAGTTCCGCAACGTCGTTTTATGAAACCAAGTAAAAGATTTTCCAGCCGAAGACGATTTTTCCGGAAAATAAAGTAAAGGGCTATTTCCTGGGTGGAAAATTAAAGCCATGAAACGATGGTCTGTTGCATTGGCATTTTAATAGAATGATCGTCGTAGAAAGAAAAGTGTCGTATACGCTCGTATTTGGGACTCAACTCCCACAACAGTGGCAAATTTCCTGTTTATTTAATAATATGTGAGAATTATTTGTATAAATTGTGTGTTTTATTGAAAATTTTGTTTAAAATGTATGTATTAAACATAAAAAATACATACGTACAATACATATATAATACAAGTATTAAATTCTTTACACGGATAATAACTAGTTGGTGTGTATGATTGTAACCTTTACCTTGTCAATTTGAGTTTGGATTGTGTTCTAACCATCGTTGATTAGAAATTCTGATATAAAGAGTCAAGAAAATAATGCAATGTACACACTAATATTTGAAAATTTTGTGTTTATGTAATAGTATAGACAGGCGGCTATACTCGGTTTTTTAAATTTTTTTTAAAAATAGTATAGCTGTGCGGCCATATTTATTTTGACACGTGGGCACCTAATCTCAAAAGGGGGTCTGCTTTTTTTTAGTCCAATTTTCCTGTTACTAAATTCTCTATGCCCCATGTTTCCTTCATATATCTTTTGACATGTGTCATATGACAAACATAAATTTAACACTGTTAACAATATTTCAACACAATAATATTGAAAAACACACAAGTTCCTCCTCGTCATCTCTTTCGTTCACCATCGCCACCTCCATGTCAGCCCAAATCATGTCGTCCATCTCCAAGTACCACAACCATTCACCTTATTTTTTGAGCATCTCATTGCCGTTCCTTGCTTTAGTACCTTTCTTATCTAATTTCCATTTGATTTTCAGAGTTGTGGCCAAATCTAAAGAAAAGTTGTTATATTGATTAAAAAAACTCAATTATTCAAAGCCAAAATTCTCTCTCAAGCTTGGCCAATATTGCATCCATTCAAGATATTCACCATGAGCAACAAACAATAACCCAACAAGTGCTAGTTTGCATGTGGATTTGGTGTGGTCTTTAATATCGCTGAACCCCTTATGAAATTTCCAAGCTTTGCCTTGTGGGTTTTTCTGATTGATCAATTCTTGGTCTTTGTAGTGCTTGAGTGATGTTTCCTTGAGCCAAATCTTAATATGGAAGCACTTTCTCTATGTGTTGAGGGTTTCTTGAAGCAAATGGACACGGTGAGGTGGCGGGTCTGATGAATGGGTGCAGTGGTGGAGATTATGTATAAATTGGGTGTCCCATCATCCTATGGAGGCATAAACAAACCCATGGCGAATATGATGAACTTGAGGTTTGGAGGAGAAAGAACAAAGACAAGGCTCCCTTTTTGTTGAACGAAATAGATGAGTCGAGGAAATGCGGTTTCTTCTTTTAAATAAAATTTATTATATTGAAATAAACAGTGTTAAGTTTATGTTAAGTTATGGAATATGTGTCAAAAATATAAGAAGGAAATAGGGAGGCACATGAGATTTGGTAATAGGAAAATTAGACTCACTCTTTTTATATATAAATCGTATAGCCGATCGGCTATACCTCTTTTTCTGATTTGTTTTAAAAATAGTATCGCCATGCGGCTATACATGGGCGCCAAATCGCAATGGGCTCCTTTATTTTTACGTGTATAAATAGTATAGCCGGGCGGCTATACTCGGTTTTCTTATTTGTTTTAAAAATAGTATAGCCGCACGGCTATCCTTACTTTCACACGCGGGCCCCTGTTCGCAAGAGTTTTTCTTTATATGTATGAATAGTATAGCCGCACGGCTATACTCCCTTTTTTGATTTGTTAAAAATAGTATAGCCGTGCGGCGCTACGCCATTTTAAAAACTTTTGTTAAAAAATAGTATCGCCGCGCGGCTCTACCGATTTTTTTTTGGGAGATTCACTAATATACCCAATATGGGGGCCCAAATTATAAAAATACCCCATATGAAATGAACTTTATAAACACACCCAAAACCCATTTACAACATAACAAAGAGGCCTTAACTTCTTATAAATTACAAAACTACCATAAATTTCTTAAAACAAGCCCAACCTCAAAATCTCATAAAAATACCCAAAACACTCAATAGGGCATTAAAGTAATTTAATAATAAATATTAAATTCAATAAGGCCAACTGTCATTTTTGGGGTTTTTTTTGGGTTTGTTTATAGAAATTCAATGATGGAGGGTTTATCTATAATATTAGTGCTAAGAATGGGTATATCACTAAATATCTTTTTTTTTTTTACACGTACACATCTAATCGTAAAGGGGTTTTTTTCCACATGTATAATAGTATAGCCGACCGGCTATACCCCGTTTTTTTGATTTTTGAAAAATAGTATAGCCGATCGGCTATACTGTTTTTGACACGTGGGCACCTAATGGAAAGGGGGGTCCTCTCTTTTATATGTATAAATAGTATAGCCGGTCAGCTATACCTGGTTTTTTATTTATTGTTTTTTATAAATAGTAATGCAATCTATAAGACTGTTGACATGTTTCGTTACAGGGAAGTTAAATACCACTGAAAGTAGCAATATGATATCAGATAAATTTAAAGAATATAGGAAAGAGGATATCAGCTAATAATCAAAAGTTAGGTGTGACTGCAGAAAAGGTGTCCATTCCAGAATGTCTGATAGATACGCTTAGGCGACAAGAAATTTTCTGAACAAAATCATAATCAAACTATTAGTAGTCCATCCATATGCACTTTTAGAAGATCCACTGGCTTTTTTGCTCATCTCTTAAATCAATTGTTATTTCATATTTTTATGAAAAAATTGAACGGCAGTACTCAACAACTAAGCATCTTTATCAAATGATTTGGCAGGTTGAAAATCAAGAACCCACTCTGGAATTCTGGAAGAGATCGCTAAACCCTTTAACATGGACAGAAATACTGCGCAAGTACTGGTTGCTGCTGGTTTTGGTGCAAGGCGAAGGGATGCCCTTAGCAAGGTCTTCTAATTTAACTCCCATAGTTGCAATTGATTTTTCTAAGCTCCAAAACCTTGAGCATTCAAAGCCTTATTGGCAATAGTCATTTAAGATCTGTCATTACCCCGAATAATCTGTTTCTACCTTAAGGCAGAGCCCCAGTTGGATAGATTCATTTTCCACACTTAAGGACCAAAATCAGAAATTTTAGGTTTTACATATAACATGTAGTGATTGAATGTTAAAGGAAATAGTTTCTTCAGTTTTGTTTGTTGGCATTATCGTGCATTCCTAAATAACATATGTTGAGCGTATGTTTATTTTCTTTAATGACTAGACATGAGCATGAGCTAGCCTTTATTTACTTTCTTATGGTGGTTTTATTTACGTTCTACAATTAATAAGCTTTATCTGTTGTTGCATAAACCTATCTATAAATGTAAAATTTGGTTTTTCAAATTGAATCTTCTGTTATCTAGGAAATGAGCCTTATGGTGAAGTATGGTTTACGTCCTGGTACTTTGAAGGGTGAATTGTTTAGAGTTCTGCTAGAGCAAGGAATTCATGAGTTGAAAGTTCCTGAGTTGGCGAAGTCATTGCAGGTAGTTTTCTTGAAAATATTGTTATCATAATCTCTCATGTGATATTACTCTTGAATTAGTGATGGACTTTGTTTTTGTTTTGCAGATTTCTGAATTGAACCTTTTCCACGAACTAGAGTCTTTAATTGGTTCAACTCTTTCAAGTGATATTACATTATTTGAAAAGAATTCATCATCCACATATTGTGTGCGTATTAATTCTTTTGAAAAGAAAGTGGAGGAATCCCAATCAGATACCGAAGACTCTGGAGCAGTTGATGATGACCTCGGTGATAGTGGTACATGTGGCAGTGATGATGATTCTGGGTGCAATTCAGGAAATTCCAAAATTAAAAAGCTGACTTATATGAACCATGGCAAAAGTAAAGATAACATGGTGATAGTATAACACCGAAATTGATGAGAGCCATCCAAGAGAAGTATGGTTGTTAGGACTGATGGAAGGCGAATATTCAGATTTAAGCATTGAAGAAAAGTTGAGCGCAATAGTGGCACCCATTGATCTTCTTCATGTAGGTTCTAGTTTCAGAATGGAGATAACATATAGAATCTTTGCATGGACATTGAAACCTTTTCTTTGTTTTTATTTTTCCCACTACTATGAGGTTGCCCTATTAAATGGAACGTGTTCAGTCCTTTATAAGATAATATAATCTGAATAGTGCAAACTGCATTATATATATAAATAGTTTGACAGTAAATATTATTTGAATATTGAATGAGATTCAAGTAGCTGTAATTATTATGGTGGTTTATAAGTTTAATATTTTCGAACCTTGATATTATACGACTTTTACTTTTGCATTTTCTGCATCCTTGATATTTTTTTTAAAAAAACCTGCTAAAAAAAGTATACTTTTTTAGTATAGGGCCATTTTAATACAATGTTTAAGCCCATTTTACAAAACCCAACCCGTTAGTTATATTAAAAATTAGGTTAGATGTCTTCTTCTTCCCAGCGTAGCCTACACTCATTCCTCTCGCTGTTTCAACTTCATCTCTCTTTCTCTCTCTCTGTCTTTCTTCATGCAGCGCCTCAGTGCCACCTTAAGCGTCAACGGCAAAACGCCAGCCCAGACCAGCCCAGGCGGCCTAGGCGGGAGCTAGGCGGCCTAGGCGGGCGCTAGGCGGCCTAGGCGGGCGCTAGGCGGCCTAGGGGGCCTAGGCGGGGGCTAGGCGGCCTAGGGGGGGGCCTAGGCGGGGGCTAGGTGGCCTAGGCGGCGCCCAACTCCTTGGCGGCTACTCCTTACGATTAGGATGAAATCGCGGCGGTGTCGTCCCGCCTAGCACCTTGAATGTATCGGTGTGAAAGGCTGATCAAAGCTATGCACCTTGCATAGGAAATTGACTTTCGAAAGATGGTTCTCTCCGGTGACACGTAAACACATGTTATGCTATCACTTCCATAGTAAATATAAATTTAACCTGCCTTTTAATGAAGTTGAATTACAATATGAGAGAGAGAAGAAAAAACAAGTTGAATTCCAATAGCTGTTAATTGAAGCAGTTTCCCAAACAATTGATGGCCTCATTCTCATTTCCTCCATCTCTCTGCATAATTTCATTTTGATGCTTCTAAAACAAATTAAAGCATGGAGTGGAGTTTATCACATTCTGTTCTCACATGGCTCCTGGTAATATCCATAACACCAGGGCAGCCACAGAGGGCCATAGTGAGCTCAAACTCGTCTCATGCCGCTTTCTCCGTTTGCTGCAAGGCCATAGATTACAGGCCTTCCAACCTGCAGCAACATTAGCCTGTATTTCAATAAGAAAATCCAAAACAATACAAGCAGTTTAAGGGTTCATATCAGAAGGGCAGCTTGTATAGATATATAGATATCTTACAAGGATTTAACACACCTGTTCCTCGCCTTACTCCTCCATCAAGCAGAACAGGAACTTTTCCTCCAATAGCATCAACTACCTGAGAACATTATGTATGTGTGACATGGGTTGAATGCTTTATGAGCAGCTGACATGGATCCCTATGTCCTTTTGACTCTAAGGACCCAAGAGAAGAAAAGCAATGTGGTCTCAGGTACATTTCTACTTCTAGCCATCTTCATCTTTTGTGCACATCTCCCCTGCAATAAAATTGTGTAACTTTTGGAAGAACAATGGCTTAAATTGATGCCTGCATTTTTCAATGAATTGTGTTAAAAAAATTGTACACGCAGGACAAGGATCTGCACCAGAATGGAATGAAACCTTTGTATTTACAGTCTCTGATGATGTCTCCGAACTTCATTTGAAAATAATGAAAAAGGATAATTTCAGCGCAGACGATTTTGTTGGAGAAGCAACGTGAGTATTTTTCTTTTTTCGGATCCTTTAATTTGTATATAGTAACTCGAAAGTAATTTGCAGCCCTCAGAAACTAGGTTTTGAGTTCTAACAGTTCAACCAGTGATATATTCTCTGGTGAAAAGAGTGTAATTTATACTTTCATGCCTAACTTATCCAAGGCTGTTTGCAGCATTTCATTAGAGCCCATTTTCACAGAAGGTAGCATTCCACCAACTGCATATAATGTTGTCAATCAGGACAAAGAATACCGTGGAGAGATTAAAGTTGGACTCAGATTCACTCCTGAGCCTGAGGTGCTCTCAAATTTTTTTTTCTTCCTCTTTTGGAACTTTAAATTTGTAGTCAATGTTCTAGTTTATGATTGTTGTGTTCTATTTTATGTTCTATTTGCACCTACATTGTTAGTGCCTTTACTCTGACTGCATTCGTTGTTGCAGCAAAACGACATTGCATCTGGGGAATATGGAAGAAACGACGGTCCATCTGGGGGATACGGAAGAAACGACGGTCCATCTGGGGAATATGGTGGTTCCGAGGAGGGCTATGGTGGATGGAAACAATCATCTTACGCTGAGGAGTAGGCTAATTTGGATCGGAAGAATCATCTTACCCGGAATGCCCTTGTGATTTACAGTGTAATGTATGATGTTCATTTAGCTGCCTGGTGTGGGCTTGAGAAAAGAGGAGCTTCAGTCATGTGAGAGGTTTCTTTTTGATGTGCTTTTGTGTGCCTCAACTTGTTTGATGGATTGAAATAATCAGTCAAGTTCACTGTTTTTGATTGCTTTGTATTTGCTTTACCTCATAATTATCCCCAATCTATTAAGTAGGATAATGTATCATCTGGTTCAATCTAATCTAAAAATAAAACCATGTTGGTTTGCTTTACCTCTTGATTTTATTGTTTTCTATCCAGTATTGATACTCAACCAAGAATTCTTAACAAATAAGTTTTGAAAAACACATGATTTAATCATTAAAAAATAGTTTGATTCTACATATTATCATTGGATCAGTTCAGTTCAATGTTGAAGAACCTAAACTGTACTACTCAATTGAATTGCTGTGACACATTTAAAATCTAATCCAAACACTTGGATTGGATTGGATTGAAAAAATTACCTCTCTTTTGGTTTCAATGAAAAAAAAAGAGTTGAAATAACCAAAAAAATACTCGGGAATTAACAAAACTGGAAAATGCATTAAGAAACCAGCAAATAGCATTACAGTGCCAAAGGAGTCTTCCAAAAAAGAAAATTACGGTGCCAAAAGAGTTATACTAAAAAGTTAAAACCCATGAAAAATGAATAACAGAGTTTGGAATCAGAAAGAGAAACAGTTATTCATTAAAGGCTTCTTGCCTAACCGGGTCTTCCAATGCTTCTTGGAGGCCAGCTTCGATGTTCTTGCCTGTATCAGCGCTCTCTACTGGGTCAGTGCTTCCCTCCAAGCTACCGCTATCCTCACCTGGAGGAGACGATGCAATTGATAAAACACAAGTAAGAACCAACACAATCACTACCAAGGGAACCAACGGTTCAACAACAATGCATTTTAACTGAAAGAGTTTTGTTTCTTCTGCAGCAATCAAAAGGCACCATTATAATGCGAGTTATAGAAAAGTGAAAACCAACATAGTTTTTTTCTTAATGTATCACGTGATATTTAACTCAGATATCTTCAAGTTTGATTGCAATTCAATTTTTACGATATATGCAAAACCTTCAGAACAAATTAAAGGGTCCTTGCCCAACTATAAACAGCAGTGTATGATTAATATGCTATTCAAAATAAACTATTTCTTAAAAACTTACTAAAGTGAGAGACAAAGGTTTCAAACATTTTCCAGTTCAGATATTTACCCTGATCCAAAGGCAGTGGCCTAGAGCTCTGACCCAAAAGCTTTCTTCTAGCTCCAGAGCTAGGTCGGGTCCTCCTTGGTATGAAGCCAGCTTTCTTCCGAGTCTTATTGCTATTAAAATCCTACAAGAGGATGTATGAGTAAATCAATGTCTGATATTATAGCAGGGCCTTCTACATATAAAAGGGATTATGTAATTCAACTGGAGAAAGGTATCCATAAATAACAAAAGAAGAGCAAGCCAGCGAGTCTCTTTTCCAGATGTATTATGAGTGGTAATATGAAGGAGGTTCCCTTTCCAAATATATTTTAACAGTTGTTGACGCAGAAAAATGGTTTGGCACTTTCCCGCGTAACTTAGTGATTCGTTTTTCCTTCGGTATGCTATGGCCTCGGTAGGGCGTTATACCTGTAAGATAGCAAACGCACAGTAAGTCCTAGGGCACCGGTGTGGTACCGGCCGAAGGCTCTCCGATGCTTAAGTAAGTACGGATTTAGTAAGTTTGAACTACAGATCAATAGGCAGTATGTCGTGAGTTCTGATTGATTACCTCCAAGCTGGAATAGTTGTCCTCTTTTATAGGCCTTGGGAGGTGTGCAATTTGTTTAGAGTTTCGATGTGGGATTGTGGACATCAATTGTGGGACTGCCACGTGTCGAAGGGGATGAGGTTGCCCTAATGGTGCGACCGGTAGGGATGATATCGAAGATGGGTGCCGAAGGCACCCATAGCTCTGGTTTGGTCCACGTGTCCAATATTCATTGGCTGTTCATTTTGGTATAAACAGGAGTCCCCCAAGTCCTCTTGCGAGAGTTCTCGGAAGGGGATTTGAAGTTGTCTTCGGAAGGGAATGCCGTCCTACCGTTCGGTAAACCGATTTAGTGGAAGGGCTCAACTCTGACCCTTTTGTTCTTGCTCGTTCAGAGGCTGACGTCGGGGAAGTCAGAAGGTCGCGTCGAGTAGATGGGTGAAGGGACAACTGGGCACTTCGTCTTCCGTGCCTCGCGTGCCGTCAGTCTACCATAGGATGGGCGACACGTGGCGAGAGTAATCATGGTGCGCGGCGCATTAATGCGCCGTTTGGTTTTCCGAGGTATACCGTTGCGACCCTTCTCCCTATAAATAGAAATGACCCCGGAGGCGAAATCACTTTGCACTTGGTGAGAAGCGAGAGCTCTGTTGAGGTTGCCCTAATGGTGCGACCGGTAGGGATGATATCGAAGATGGGTGCCAAAGGCACCCATAGCTCTGGTTTGGTCCACGTGTCCAATATTCATTGGCTGTTCATTTTGGTATAAACAGGAGTCCCCCAAGTCCTCTTGCGAGAGTTCTCGGAAGGGGATTTGAAGTTGTCTTCGGAAGGGAATGCCGTCCTACCGTTCGGTAAACCGATTTAGTGGAAGGGCTCAACTCTGACCCTTTTGTTCTTGCTCGTTCAGAGGCTGACGTCGGGGAAGTCAGAAGGTCACGTCGAGTAGATGGGTGAGGGGACAACTGGGCACTTCGTCTTCCGCGCCTCGCGTGCCGTCAGTCTACCATAGGATGGGCGACACGTGGCGAGAGTAATCATGGTGCGCGGCACATTAATGCGCCGTTTGGTTTTCCGAGGTATACCGTTGCGACCCCTCTCCCTATAAATAGAAATGACCCCGGAGGCGAAATCACTTTGCACTTGGTGAGAAGCGAGAGCTCTGTTGAGGCAATTTCAGACGAGGGCTTCCGGTATTCAAGGCGATTTCCGACAAGTGCTAACGACAACCAGGCGATTTCCGGCATTACAAACGGTAGGAAGGGCGATTTTTGTCAAGACGATCTAAAGCGCAGTTCGCGTTTATTTTTCAGAGTTTGAACTAAGGTACCGTTCGGCACCTCCACTTTACTCTCTTACATATCTTAAGAGTTACGTCCTTCCTTGGTTTGAACTAGACTGACCATAGGGTTCCATTCGGTAGTCTAATCGTCATAGGTAGTGATGTAGGGATCGGTAGGATAGCATCCGGCATGAGCCTTAGTTTCCTTTTTCCCTGTTTTTGTAGATGTCTGATAGCGAGTCAATCTCCGAGCGTGAGCCCAATGCGTTCAATGAGGAGTCATCGGAAGGTCTCTTTGACTCCGATGGTGAAGCGGCAGGGCCTGATGCCGAGAATGGAAGTGATACCGATGTTGAGATACTCGGTGAAGGGCCCAGCTCCGTTCCAATACACGGCATCGGAAAGGGGCTAATGACCACTCCGGTGCCGTTGTCCATTATCTATAGCGACGGCCGCCATGTGGGTCTAGGCATGCCTGGGGAGGCGAGCGCTAGTCGCCAGTCAGAGGCCTTCACTTCCGGCCGTGGAGATTCAGTTGCCGAACCATCTGCCCGGCCGAGGGTATCGGTAGTCTATCCCAGCAATCCTAGGGTGCCGATGGGAGTTCCTAAGGAGCTCGTCTTCAGCGTAGATTATTTGGAGCCTAACAGGATCACCGAGAGGGAGATTGCGAGGTTTCGTGCTGAGTACTTTATACCATATTCGGTAGGCATGAGGATCCCAAATCCTACCAATCTCTAAGCAGTCCGAAGGATGGCGAAGTCGTCTTTTTCACGGACGTACTTCTGCAAGGGGTGATGCTCCCTTTACAGCCTGCCGTTCAGAGGATCCTAGCGCAGATAGGCTATGCTCCCGACCAGTTCAACCCCAACTTCTGGGTGGCGCTAATGGGTGTGGTCACAGCCTTCGGCATGGCTGGCGAGGGAGAGCCTTCGTACGAGTAGTTCTCCCATCTGTACAGCGTTACAAAGTCGAAGTCTGCCGATCAAGGGGGTTGGGTTCAGGCTAACTGCCTGAAGGCTACCGAACGCAGCCATTTTGTCAACGCCGTGCCAACTTCCCAGAAAACGTGGAGGAAACGGCGGGTGCTTTTGTCCGGTGACTGGGAGTCGCCCTCGGGACATCCCGTCCATTTCCACATTCCCACCACGTTCCAAATTGCCGGTAGGCCATCCTACCGTTCGGTAGGCCTCCTAGAGTGTGTCTTCCTTCGGAAATGTTAATTCCGTTTCCCTTTTTGTGCAGGTAAATTGAAGCAGCCGAGCGCTACACAAGCTGAGATCCGGCAGATCGAGAGGTTGAGGCTGAAGGTCCCTGCCGTGAAGAGGGTTTATCCGAAGTTTCTCTTCACCACCAATCTTATCAAAGCTCAACTTGTCAGCCCTGTCGAGAGTAAGTGTACTTGCCCATTTCGATAGTCTATGGCCGTAAATGGGAAATCTGACCGATCTTTGCTCACAATGACCGAAGAGAGAAAAACTGCCGAGGCGAAGAGGATGAACGAGTCCTCCAAGCGGCGCCTTATGCTCGGCATGCAGGGGAAGAAAAAAGGGCGGCAAGCCGGAACAGCACTGGCGTCTTCGGGAGGGGTTGACCCCGATGACCTAACCCTCAACGAGCATCGTCGTCAGATGAACGCTGAATCGGCGCATGCCGAAGCGGCCGATGCCGGTCCGTCTCCCAGCCGAGGTATGACTGCCGAGGGTACCTCCTCCAAAGCTGCCGGCAACAAGCATGACCTTCCATACTTCACATGAAAAGAAATTTCCTTGAAGCCAAACAAGTTACAGAAAACAAAAGCAGGATAATAACAATAACGTTGTCTTAACCTAAAATCGGAAACAATTGCATGTTTGCTCTTTATCAAATCCTTGCCATTGTATTTCAATGGGTGCATCTGCATAAAGTGAGAGTCAATAAGAAGAACAAGTCGAGGAACTTCAGGGGTAGTATTACAAGAAGTAGTAAGAACACGACGTCGCATGTGCAGTGTGGCGAAAGAGAGGTCGTCAACTGTCTTTAACAAGGCCTTTAAAGAATTGTGGAGATTTAGTCGAACCAGAAGAACAAGAAGGTATTACCGAATACCCCAAAACTGACGAAACTTATGAGAATTTGACTAAAGCTGCAAAAGCAAGTAGGAGAGATTTGGTTTACTTGAAAACACAGATGGATTCATTAGCCGAGGAGGAAAGTAAATGAGGAAACCATGTTAGTCTCGGCATATACACAATTTCTGTATTTTGGGGTCTCTTTTCTTTTATATTTAGAAAATAAATGAAATAATCATACGTATGTGTTTGAGCAGGCTTTGCAAAGTAATGTACTATTTAATCGCGAGTACTGAATACAATGATCAATTATTGTAACAATAGTACATAATATCTGTAGCTTTGTATTTTCTTTTCTTTTTCTTTTTATGTTCGTGCTTTCATTTCTTCAAATTCCTAATGAACATATGGAAAGTAATATTTACTTAAAAAGCTCGATTTATATATAACTTTTGTGCCATGTAGGATTGCATTCATTTTTCAGATTTGCCGGATAAGATGCATGCAGAACTTTTGCATTGCACTTTAAAGGTAAGTTCTCATTCTAGAAAGGAGAAGGAAGCCTTAAAGCTTTTAGTCCTAATATACAGAGGTAGTATGCTAGAGAAAATGACATGCCTTTAACCAAATGCGTACACATCTGGCCCATAGTTACTGAGGGCATGGACACATCACTGCCTCAATGTTAGTGTCCTAACTGATGGCTCAACTCAAACCTTCAAGATACTGTCCTTGGGAATAACTAAGTCCAACATATAGTACGAATATACTTTCTATCCTCTGCCTTAAAACAAGAAATTGGGTAGTGCTACACTGCGTGCAGTATTGCGAGTTGCCCAGCAGCAGTAGGTTTTACTATTGCCGCTTGTTGCTGCATGTTTCAAGAAGGAAAAGGAGAAGGTAAGAAAATGCACACATAGCTTGTAGTAGTCTATAGAAATGACCCATTTTGGTATTACCGCTAAGGGGCAGCAGAAGATATTGTGGCCAACTTCCTTGCACCGACTGCAGAATTGATGGCCGACTTTGGTGCGGCCTCCAGTCTGAAAATTGAGACAAAGGGACAGGAAAAGTTAATGGAAAACAGAATTAGTAAAACTTTACTAGAGAAAGGAAGAGTAAAATTTTGTAAGCAAATGTGGTGACAGAGTTAGCAATCTATAATAGGAGGGGCCAGTTCATGGAGTTCTAAGCTCAACTCCTCAGACGATGTAATTGATGATTATAGTTATGCAAAGTATAGGGAAACATAATAAAAACATAAAGAAGTATCTGATCACCTGCTTGGGAGTATTTTCCCTAGATTCTCTATCCTTGTAATGAAACATATCTTCCACTGAGTTTACTCGTATTCCTGTTCCCAAATTCACATAATTCTGCAACACCGCATCAAATAAATTTGTTAGATTGAAGCAATTATGAGGATAAAGTCTCATGACAAGTAAAGGCAGTGACTGAGTTAGCAATCTATAATAGGAGGGGCACCAGTTTGTGGAGTTCTAAGCTCAATCATTGACTCCTCCATATGCAAATTATAGAGAAACATTATAAAAACAAAAAGAAGTATCTGATCACCTGCTTGGGATTATTTTCCCCAGATTTGCTATTCTTGTAACAAAACATATCTTCCACTGAGTTTACTTGTATTCCTGTTCCCAAATTCACATAATACTGCAACAACACATCAAATAAATTTTTAGTTTGAAGTTATTATGAGGATAAAGTCCCATGACAAGTAAATGCAGTGAAAGAGTTAGCAATCTATAATAGTGGGGGACACCAAGTATAGCTATTGGTGCAAATGGATTGGAATCTGTCCAATCTAATAACAAGAAACAGCTACAATTACATATATCCATCTCAAAATCAAAATCAACCAAACAGTTCTAGAACTCCTAAATTTTACAAAGAGAAAAGAAAACAGAAACAAACATCCAAACATAAACTAATTTTGTACATAGAAGAGAGCCAGGAATCAGGTGTTTAGGTACCAAGGTTTTAGATCCGTCCATTTGGATTTCACTCTTCAACTCCCAGCCATCAGGAATTGGGCATCCTGTGTGCTTATCTACCATATTTGAGAATGATGTTCTCCTTCTTCAATGGTGCTCGCAGGAATCTCTCCCCTCAACTTTCTCCTTGTTTGAGGGTCCTTTTAACCCTAAACTTCCGATAAGAACGAGGCATTAAAGGAAAAGTTCTTGAAACGGATATGCCTCTGAGCCATGTAATCCCATCTTCTCAGTGTGTTTTCACGAGAGCTGAAACATAACTGAAGATAAGGACAAGTACTTTTGCCTTAATAAAATAATAGAACTGGAAATGACAAACTAAACAGCGCACCATTCACCAGAAGACAGTAAAAACGCTCAAGACAGGATGAATGCCAGATAACAGAGAAGGCATTACCAAAACTTCCGACAAGAACGAGGTGTTTAAGGAAAAGTCCTTGAAACGGAAACGCCTCTTGAGTCACGTGATCCCATCTTCTCAGTGTGTTTTAACGAGGGCCGAAACGTAACTGAAAATAAAGACAATTACTTCTGCCTTAAGAATATAATAGAACAACTGGAAATGACAAACTAAACAGCGCACCATCCACAAGAAGACAGTAAAAACGCTCAAGCCAGGATGAAAGCCAGATAAGAGAGAAAGTATTACCAAAAACAAACCTACTTAGCATTTCAGAGCTCATATTGATTCTTTTTTTTCTTTTGGTGGAAATATAAAAAATCATAATTAGATCCTCAATGTCCCCATTGTAATCATGATTCACAAGAACGATAGTAGGTATTATCTATAGTAGACTGAATGTGTACCTAGAATGAAATTTAGTTCAGGGCATCTGAAGTTTGCATACCATATTTTCCTATATCCCCCGTTGTTAATCAATAAATATTTCCAGTTATGATTTTGAAAATGTCACATTTTTGCCCTTTTCACACTTGGATTTTAGAATCTAAAAGCTATGCGCTGCAGTATTTAATAGGCATGTAAATAAAGCAATGCACATTTCTGAAGTTAAATGATTATCTTCCATGCAGAGAAACAAAAGGAAACACTTTAAACCAGTACAAAATTATTAGACACGAGTAGCCTAACTGGTACACAAAAACAACAGAATCCATCAATGTCGAAACACATTTTTTTTTATAGCAATTATTACACACACATACACTCAAATTCATACCTTCCCACCTCTCGGCTTTCAAGATGGCTAATATCCTACTGAGTGAGATTCAAAGCCCTTTAACATTTATGAAGTTCTGAATAACATCACTATTAACAGCCCAATAATATATAAAAGCAGCCCAAAAAGAAATAATCACTTCATAATAGCTGAATTTCTTTGAATTGCCAAAACATACATACACAAACTAAATTTCCTTGTCACAAGAAACAACAATGAGTTGAACAACACAAGAAAATATAGTATTATGAAGAAGATAAGAATTAAAAAATAAATACCTGATATTAATAGCCTAAATTACAATACAACCCTACCCATAATGGTAACAACTAGACCCAACTTGAAAACAAAATATACAATCATGCAATCAAACAAAATAAATATCTGACGAGGCTCACGGAGTAAAGAGACTTGTTATGAAGTTTCAAAGATAGAGAAGCTGAGACATCAAGAAAGACAATCTGGCATACAAAGATGGAAAAATAAAAATTTTGGAACAGTAGCAAAGAAGCATGTGAAGGCTAGGTGCGGTGAGAACACATATGAGAGGATGAACAAAAGATGGTGACTATACAAGATGAAGACCCATGATGGGTTAGGAATGAGGAGTGCCAACGACTCTCAATTTGGCAGAGGATCTCAAGGATTAGCAACGACTCTCAAGGAGACCACAAACACAGGTCACAAGAAAACCTAGGCTCTTATCCCATGTCAAATAAAGTAGGGCAAATATTCAGATATGCTCAAATTCACTCATATTCTCATATTTTCTCATCTTATTATTCTTCTCCAATATGGAGGTATTTATAGAGAAGTACAACCCTAAATAAAATAGGAAATAAATCCAAATTACAATAGAAAATAAATATAAATTACAATAGGAAATAAATCTCAATTATAATAGGACTAGATAAATGGGTAAGTAACCAAAATCCTAACATAGTAAGGAACCAAAATCCTAACTAAGTAAGGACTCACGAACAAATCTTTCTTGCAGAATTTTGGAGCCCACATACCTGCCCAAAGTACAAAATTGAAATTTATGAAAAAGAGCAGGATGGCGTAGAATTAATATTACAAACAAGACATTCAAGCCAAATATATTAATGACAAGTTCTAGTGGTTGCAAGTAAGTGTGTATGACGTACCTCCCTAACATCAGATAGAAGCCCTGTGGATGGCTCGCTGGTGTGGAAGGGAATGTGGAGCCATCAACAACGTGTAATGCATTGATCCCTGTAACACAGAAATCATCATCAAGCACCTCCCCGACAAGGCATCCACCATGGTAATGCCAATATGATGCTACTGCCTCTTGGCAAAATGTTTCAAAAGCTGCATCATCTGTCTGGTTCTCTGGCAAAGGTATTCCCAAAATATCAAAACCTTCTATGCCCGGCAAATCTTCCACTTTATATGGTTTTAATGCGTCTGAGCTCAAGAATTCACCAATCTTCTTCATGCCGCTAACACAATGAGCAAGGTCAGTTGAATTAGAATAGTAGTTGAATGTGACATTTGGAGCGACTCTCACGTCAGAGGTTGATTGCAGCGTGACAGTACCATGAGATAATGGTCCTGGAACATTGTTAACAATGTGAGCGAAAGTCGTATTTGGCAGGGATCAACAACGCGTAATGCATTGATCCCTGTAACACAGAAATCATCATCAAGCACCTCCCCGACAAGGCATCCACCATGGTAATGCCAATATGATGCTACTGCCTCTTGGCAAAATGTTTCAAAAGCTGCATCATCTGTCTGGTTCTCTGGCAAATGTATTCCCAAAATATCAAAACCTTCTATGCCCGGCAAATCTTCCACTTTATATGGTTTTAATGCGTCTGAGCTCAAGAATTCACCAATCTTCTTCATGCCGCTAACACAATGAGCAAGGTCAGTTGAATTAGAATAGTAGTTGAATGTGACATTTGGAGCGACTCTCACGTCAGAGGTTGATTGCAGCGTGACAGTACCATGAGATAATGGTCCTGGAACATTGTTAACAATGTGAGCGAAAATCGTATTTGGCAGGGATAGATAGCTTTGTATTTTTTTATTTTTTATTTATATGTTCGTGCTTTCATTTCTTCAAATTCCTAATGAACATATGGAAAAGTAATATTTACTTAAAAAGCTCGATTTATATATAACTTTTGTGCCATGTAGGATTGCATTCATTTTTCAGATTTGCCGGATAAGATGCATGCAGAACTTTTGCATTGCACTTTAAAGGTAAGTTCTCATTCTAGAAAGGAGAAGGAAGCCTTAAAGCTTTTAGTCCTAATATACAGAGGAAGTATGCTAGAGAAAATGACATGCCTTTAACCAAATGCATACACATCTGGCCCATAGTTACTGAGGGCATGGACACATCACTGCCTCAATGTTACTTAGTGTCCTAACTGCAACTCAAACCTTCAAGACACTGTCCTTGGGAATAACTAAGTCCAACATATAGTACGAATATACTTTCTATCCTCTGCCCTAAAACAAGAAATTGGGCAGTGCTACACTGCGTGCAGTATTGCAAGTTGCCCAGCAGCAGTAGGTTTTACTATTGCCGCTTGTTGCTCCATGTTTCAAGAAGGAAAAGGAGAAGGTAAGAAAATGCACACATAACTTGTAGTAGTCTATAGAAATGACCCATTTTGGTATTACCGCTAAAGGGGCAACGGAAGATATTGTGGCCAACTTCCTTGCACCGACTGCAGAATTGATGACCGACTTTGGTGCGGCCTCCAGTCTGAAAATTGAGACAAAGGGACAGGAAAAGTTAATGGAAAACAGAATTAGTAAAACTTTACTAGAGAAAGGAAGAGTAAAATTTTGCAAGCAAATGTGGTGACAGAGTTAGCAATCTATAATAGGAGGGGCTAGTTCATGGAGTTCTAAGCTCAACTCCTCAGACGATGTAATTGATGATTATAGTTATGCAAAGTATAGGGAAACATAATAAAAACATAAAGAAGTATCTGATCACCTGCTTGGGAGTATTTTCCCCATATTCTCTATCCTTGTAACGAAACATATCTTCCACTGAGTTTACTCGTATTCCTGTTCCCAAATTCACATAATTCTGCAACACCGCATCAAATAAAGTTGTTAGTTTGAAGCAATTATGAGGATAAAGTCCCATGACAGTAAAGGCAGTGACCGAGTTAGAAATCTATAATAGGAGGGGCACCAGTTCGTGGAGTTCTAAGCTCAATCATTGACTCCTCCATATGCAAATTATAGAGAAACATTATAAAGACAAAAAGAAGTATCTGATCACCTGCTTGGGATTATTTTCCCCAGATTTGCTATTCTTGTAACAAAACATATCTTCCACTGAGTTTACTCGTATTCCTGTTCCCAAATTCACATAATACTGCAACAACACATCAAATAAGTTTTTAGTTTGAAGTTATTATGAGGTTAAAGTCCCATGACAAGTAAATGCAGTGAAAGAGTTAGCAATCTATAATAGTGGGGGGCACCAAGTATAGCTATTGGTGCAAATGGATTGGAATCTGTCCAATCTAATAACAAGAAACAGCTACAATTACATATATCCATCTCAAAATCAAAATCAACCAAACGGATCTAGAACTCCTAAATTTTACAAAGAGAAAAGAAAAGAGAAACAAACATCCAAACATAAACTAATTTTGTACATAGAAGAGAGCCAGGAATCAGGTGTTTAGTTACCAAGGTTTTAGATCCGTCATTTTGGATTTCATTCTTCAACTCCCGGCCATCAGGAATTGGGCATCCTGAGTGCTTATCTACCATATTTGAGAATGATGTTCTCCTTCTTCAATGGTGCTCTCAGGAATCTCTCCCCTCAACTTTCTCCTTGATTGAGGGTCCTTTTAACCCTGAACTTCCGATAAGAACGAGGCGTTAAAGGAAAAGTTCTTGAAACGGATATGCCTCTGAGTCATGTAATCCCATCTTCTCAGTGTTTTTTCACGAGAGCTGAAACGTAACTGAAGATAAGGACAATTACTTTTGCTTTAATAAAATAATAGAACTGGAAATGACAAACTAAACAGCGCACCATTCACCAGAAGACAGTAAAAACGCTCAAGACAGGATGAATGCCAGATAACAGAGAAGGCATTACCAAAACTTCCGATAAGAACGAGGTGTTTAAGGAAAAGTCCTTGAAACGGAAACGCCTCTTGAGTCACGTGATCCCATCTTCTCAGTGTGTTTTCACGAGGGCCGAAACGTAACTGAAAATAAAGACAATTACTTCTGCCTTAAGAATATAATAGAACAACTGGAAATGACAAACTAAACAGCGCACCATCCACAAGAAGACAGTAAAAACGCTCAAGCCAGGATGAAAGCCAGATAAGAGAGAAAGTATTACCAAAAACAAACCTACTTAGCATTTCAGAGTTCATATTGATTCTTTTTTTTCTTTTGGTGGAAATATAAAAAATCATAATTAGATCCTCAATGTCCCCATTGTAATCATGATTCACAAGAACGATAGTAGGTATTATCTATAGTAGACTGAATGTGTACCTAGAATGAAATTTAGTTCAGGGCATCTGAAGTTTGCATACCATATTTTCCTATATCCCCCGTTGTTAATCAATAAATATTTCCAGTTATGATTTTGAAAATGTCACATTTTTGCCCTTTTCACACTTGGATTTTAGAATCTAAAAGCTATGCGCTGCAGTATTTAATAGGCATGTAAATAAAGCAATACACATTTCTGAAGTTAAATGATTATCTTCCATGCAGAGAAACAAAAGGAAACACTTTAAACCAGTACAAAATTATTAGACACGAGTAGCCTAACTGGTACACAAAAACAACAGAATCCATCAATGTCGAAACACATTTTTTTTTATAGCAATTATTACACACACATACACTCAAAATTCATACCTTCCCACCTCTCGGCTTTCAAGATGGCTAATATCCTACTGAGTGAGATTCAAAGCCCTTTAACATTTATGAAGTTCTGAATAACATCACTATTAACAGCCCAATAATATATAAAAGCAGCCCAAAAAGAAATAATCACTTCATAATAGCTGAATTTCTTTGAATTGCCAAAACATACATACACAAACTAAATTTCCTTGTCACAAGAAACAACAATGAGTTGAACAACACAAGAAAATATAGTATTATGAAGAAGATAAGAATTAAAAAAATAAATACCTGATGTTAATAGCCTAAATTTCAATACAACCCTACCCAGAATGGTAACAACTAGACCCAACTTGAAAACAAAATATACAATCATGCAATCAAACAGAATTAAACAAATCAATTCAGATGCCATCAAACTTCCATAAATGAATGCACATATTTTTTGAGAAAAAAACACCAAGCCAGAGAGAAATACCCTTCCCAATTTCTTTTTTGGAGCAACTACTAACTTTCATCAGCACCATTTCTCCATTACCAAACAACAAAAAAGTAAGTAAATTTGCAAATTGTTCATATATAAAGCAAAGCTTTCAGTTGTACCTTGCTTGGGGTCTCTTCATCTTCATGTCCTCCGAGCTTAAAAGAGGTAGCTCCATAGCTCCGCTCTGTTGCCGGTTTGACGACATAGTTGTCTGAAACCAAACCCCTGACTGAGTAACCAGTCGAAGTCGTTTTCTCAGAAACTTAAGACTGTGAAACGGCGCCGTATACTCTTCAAATATATTAATATTTAACTTTTTAAATGTATTCGAATATTTTAAAAGTATAGCCGCGCGGCTATACTGCACAAAAAGGTTTTCTTTTTTGTAATTAAGTAAAATCTTTTCGACCAAAAACAAAAAGCAACATCTTAGCTTTTTTTAATTATTGTAATCTGTAATTATGTTTTAATTATTATTTCTTTAGTGAATGATTAGTATTTAAATAATTTACTAATTTCATAAATTTCTTAATAAACAGTAATTAATTATTTTAAATTATTTTGTGCACTTTTTTTATTTTTTATACAAAATTAGTTTTTTTTAGTTTAATGTTTGCAATTAATTAATATCTTAGCCTTATTTAATTATATTAATTATTATTTATGTTTTAATTATTATTTATTTAATGAATAATTAGTACTTAAGTATTTTAATTAATTTCATAAATTACTTAATAAATACTAATGAACTATATTTACTTATCTTAAAATAATTTTGTGGACTTTAAAATTATTTATAATTTATAAATATATTTTTAAAATAGTTTCAATTATTAGAAAATTATTTTAGTATTCCGAGAATGGATTTGAGCCTCTAAACCCTAAATCCGAGTCTCAAACCTTTTTCAAGCTTCAAACCCTAACCACGAAGCTACTATGGGGCACTTATGACTCGATTAGGCTTGGATACTCACGTAATTCGACCTAGGGTTTTACTATTGACCAGGAAAATTCACTGAGACATGTCTAAGTTAGGTCCGGTTACGTCGTACTAACCCAAAACCTGATTATTAAATATTAATTATTATGTATATATAATCCAAGCCCAATCAAAAGGTGAGGCCCAAGTTCCACTCCACTAGGCCCACCTTCCAAATAGCATGTGTTGGAAGACTCCCACTTACAAGGAATAGAGACTTTCTCTTCTTTTCCAATATAGGACTCTAGTTTATGTGTTCATTCAAACTCCAACAAGTAGTTGATACTATCGAATCACATTGTGACTTGGATTTAGGGTTTGAATGCTAAAATTCATTTTTGGAATACTAAGGACTTGATTAGGCTCAGACTCAGACATGTAAATAATATAACTAAGAATTTCTTTTCCTTTCTCTGGCCATTAAAATTTTGAAACCCTTGTCTCGTCCACCATTTCTCCATTACCAAACCCCTGACTAACCAGTGGAAGTCGTTTTCCCAGAAAATTAAAACTACAAAACGACACCGTGTGTTTCCTTTGGCTCGAAACATGAAGCTGCATCTTTTCTTTCAAATTTCTCCCCCTCTCTTTCAATCATTCCCATCTCTCTATGCTACCAAACATCGAGTGTGAAGGTTGCAAACAAAGTAGGCATAATGCAATTATTGGCTTCCAAATTGGGTTTTTTGCACCATTAAATGAAAATTCGAACTTATATTGAAGTTGCTATGGGACATTTTCCCTACTAGAAATGTTTCTTCTAATACTACCAACGTACAAAACATTCCCAAATGGGGTGAAGTTGAGGCTAAAGCTGCCCTTGTAGCTCTTCTAGCTGTTCATGGAGCAAGCATGCTGTCTTAAAAGGGTTGTTATGTTAAACAAGCTTCATGAATTTACAAATAATAGGTCCTCAACACAAGTCACAATCCAGCACCGTAAGTACCTTTTTGCCTATAAAAGGCATGGTTTTTCTCAGAAGCATCAACTCAACTCACCATGCTGCATGTCTTAGAAGGGTTGGCATGTTGAAGAAACTGGATGTTGCATAAGATGAAGGTGGACATGTGCGTGGTGTGTGGAAGTAGAAATCTAATTCCAATGTGCTTTAAGATTTTCAAAGACGCAATAGAAAATCATTTGAGAGTACAAGTTCAAAATTTATCAGAAACATTAACAATACAAAAAAACTCTTTACATAGGCTTGGGGGACTCTGGGGATTTGGCAGGTTGATGACAACTTCTACAGTTGTGCCCTATTTTACCGCACTTACTACAGCGTGGTGACTTCCTTGTTCTGGCCACTGTCACACGCCCACTCAGGCAGCGTGCAGTAGGTTTCGTGATCGCTGCTTGTTGCTGCATGTTTCAAGAAGGAAAAGGAGAAGGTAAGATAAACCACACTTAATTTGTAGTGGTCTATAGAAATGACTGTACCCATTGTGGTATTACCGCTAAGGGGCAAAGGAAGATATTGTGGCCAACTTCCTTGCACCTACTGCAGAATTGATGGCTGACTTTGGTGCGGCCTCCAGTCTGGAAATTGAGACAAAAGGACAGGAAAAGAAAATGGAAAACAGAATTAGCAACACTTTACTGGAAAAAAGAAGAGTAAAACTTGTAAGTAAATGCAGTAACAGAGTTAGGAATCCGTAATAGGAGAGGGAAAATTGGAAGAAAAAATAAACTACTACAAACAACCCAGGACAAAAAAAAAAAAAAAAAAAAAAAAAAAAAAAAAAAAAAAAGTAAAGTATAGAGGAGAAAAAAAATAAATAAAAAAAAGTATCTGATCACCTGCTTGGGATTATTTCCCCTGATTCGCTATTCTTGTAATGGAGCATATCTTCCACTGAGTTTACTCGTACTCCTGTTCCCAAATGCACAAAATACTGCAACACCGCATTAAATAAAGTTGTTAGTTTGAAGAAATTATGAGGACAAAGTACCATGATTTGCAAAAATATTTTCAGTATCACAAATTATTCATCCTGTATTTCTGAGAACATGGTTTTTCAGACATGTAGCACTAGGAAAATCAAGCATAAAAGTATGAAAATACGAACATTACAAGAGCTTAAGGCTAAGTGCTAAGAATATCTTGTTCCATGCCTGAAGATTCAAAACTTATAAAATCAGAGGCAGTCATGCTGTTTTTCGTTTTTCTAAAGACTTGCACTGTTGACAGCAGTTTTAAATGGTTTGAAACGAAGAATTATAGCACGACACAATTCTCTAATAAGTACTTCTTCCAGTGATCTTACTAAATTATAGAATCTACTTACTGTAGCAGTGTTAATAAAATATTAGTTCAATGGGAAAGTAATTAGGCAACTGATTCATCTCTTTAATGACTTTCCGTCTTATAGGCAGGGTCAGCTTTCTATCCTTTAGTGGCTGTTATACCAGTCTCGTGACTTTCAATAGCGGTTCTTGAGGAAATGAAAGAAAAAATTAATGTGTGCCACCATGCTTTCTAGCATGATGAGACGCATTACTAAAACTAAAATAAATTAGAGGAATCTACAAAGAGACCAATAAACAAATATAGATTTTCTTGTCAACAAATTTCCATTTTCTTCATTTGATAGTGGTTTTTCTACTGAACTCATGACTTTTGATAGCTGTCCTTAAAGAAATGAAAGAAAAAAATAACGCATGCCACCAGGCTTTCTGGCGTGACAACACGTGTAACTGAAACTGACATAAATGAGAAGCATTTTCAAAGGCAATCATAATAATACAAAATTTTCGTTTCAACAATTTTCCATCTTCCTCACCTATGTGACATTTAGTTGAAGAGAACTTTTAAACTTCCATATTGCTTAGATGGTTGCCAATCTTTGCTTGCTTACTTTTAACTTTTTTGTGGGTAGAACCATCTGCTTTGATGTTCTTCATATAAGTTTCAACCTATAAACTTCTTGTTGTTTGTGGCCAGACGCAAGCTTCATTTATATATAAAAAATTCCTTTTTGTGAACATTTTGGAGATGTTATTAGAATTAGCTATCCAAAGTTGGCAATTACATTATTAAAATTTGAGTTCTAAAGCACTTTTCTTCTGTATGAATGTTAGAGAATGATGGTCTTAAGATCAACCTATTAAAGTTGATAGCATCGTATTAACAGCATCTCAATGTCAATGATCAACTAAACTATTGCTTTGGCCTTTGTAGTTTGTGGTGTTTCTTACTGGTTTTAGGTATGCTTTTCACATGTACCTAATAATCTCTTTAAGTATTTTATGTAAGTGCTAGTAGAGGAGCTATGAAATTGTTATTTGAGGAGCTGCACATTTTTTCTGGCATTGCTGCATGTTAAAGGAGGACATCAACATAAACAGAAACAAAACTGTACCCGATTTAAATCCAAAATCACATAGAAATAAGGTTAAAAGAAATTTGAAAACTTGACCTGTAAAATTGATACATAAAGGAAAGACCAAAAACAAAAGAGAACCCATGTCACATCCTGCAATATTCTAATTGATGGCCACCAAAAGAGAACTTAAACCCCTAACATTCATGATAAAACTAGCATTCAGAAAACTCCATAACAAAACCAGAGAATTCAAACTTCACACTCAATTAGATAAAATTCCAACATCTAAATCAGGTTAACAGTTCTTATTACCTTAACCTTAGTTCCATCCTCTTTTCTCTCAGTTCCCTGAACCCAACCAGCGGGAAGATTGCTCGAGCTCTCACCAGCCATGTTCACAAGCTTTAATCTTGCAGAGACCCAAAACACAAACAAAATCACAAGCTTCAATCTTGCAGAGACCCAAAATACAAATAAACTCAAACTCTCTCTGGGACAATCTTTCAAGCACTAAGCCTGCAATATGAACTAGGTGATTAAAAAGAGCCTGCCCGGAGAAGGAAAAGATGCGTCTGAAGCCACGTGTCTCCATTCTGCTACTGCAAAACAGAGCGGTTACAGGCAAGAGTTGAAAAGGAACTTGATCTTTTCTAAGGATTAGCTCAGGATTTAGCTTTTGCTTTGCTTGATTTGGTAGGTTCTTGAATTTGCATGAGGAAGAGGACAGAAGGTAAGTGGGTTTTGAGCTGGATTTTCTGTGGGAGTGAAGATTGGCGGTTTTGGGTGTGAAGGAGGCATTTGGATTTCATTGCCATTTCAGGTGACTGAGCGTGGAGAGTGTGAGGAAACTTGAAAACAAGCCGTTACTGATTTGAATTGCTGTAGGTGGGTCTGTAAAACGACGAGAGAGACTTTCATGCAACATGAACATCCCGCCAATAGCACAACGACGGTCGAGATAACTTTTCCACATGTTATTGCCTTATTGGTCAGATAGTAAAATAATACTATCCTGTTACAAGAAAGGTTTTTTTAGCCATTTACAGCCCCTGTTTTTAAATTCCAAGAGTATCATTATCTTCATTTAAAATTGCAGTGGTCAATCGACTTTAGCCTAGTGGAAAATTGTAGGGGTCAATCGTTTAGTTTAGTGGAAAATTGCTTTAACTTGCAAAACAGAGACCTCATGTTTGAACTCTTATGTCATCTTGGTTTTGTATGTGGAGAGCATTTGTGCTCACCAATTTATTCGAAGGTGTACCCTCACCAATCTTCTCAATATTTGACATGTGTCTATGGGCATAACCATGGTTCCATAAATACAAAGTAAAGAGTTAATCATTGTTATGCCTATTGGACATGTGTCAAATATTGAGAATGATGGTGAAAGTATACCATAGGTTAAAGTGGTGAGCAAAAATATTTCCTTATATGTGTGGTAGAAATACCCCTCTTCAAAAAAAAATTGAAGGGTATTTTTGTGAATAATGCTACTCTTACTACATTTATATACCACGTTCTAATACCACTTTGGAAATACTTTGTTTTTTTTGTTGTTGAAAAGTTTGGAAATACTTATGGTAATTAAAAAATAGCTTTTATCCTCATTTTCCATATTCAGTTTTCGAACTCGTACTTTAAAAAATGTTTGCACAGTTGTTATGGTAGTTATTTGGTCATAAAAATATATAGTTTATTCATACGCACAAAATATATATTTGTTTTTGGGTGATGTTGGGGGGCCAAGCCCCAGAAACAGACTACTCAGGATGATTTAAACAAACCAACAGAGAATGAACAACTCCTGGCAAATCATCAAGAAGCTTCGAACTAACCCAAGAGGGAGCAGACTCAAGGATGCATTGACCAAGGTCCGTGTTGTAGCTCCAGTTAGCTAGAGAGAGCGTCTGCCACTTCATTCTTCTCCCTGTATATATGAAGAATAGAGCAGCTATCAAATTGGTCCATCATAGCGCAGCATCGAAGTACCAGTGGGGCAAGAGGATGGTAGCCAAACAAGTCTGGTTTCTGCACGAGCTGGACAACTGTGGCAGCATCCATTGCACGAGCTGCATAAGCTGGACAACTGCACCCCAAAAAACAACCCCCAGACTTCAACTTCAAGAACCTGGCCTTTCCCCTAAACTGACAGAGAAGCCACTAACCCAATCACCCCTCAAGTTCCTTATAACACCACCAGCACCAATGCAGCCAGAAGAGCTTCTTCCAGACCCATCCACGTTCAATTTGAATTGGCCATTACAGGGAGGTTCCCAAGCAAAGAAAACCTGGACTTTTTCAGATTCTTTAGCGGTTGCACGGGCAGCCTGCATCCATTGTCTAGCAGCAGTGAGAACAGTTTTAACGGATCATAATTGGGTTCCCCAGTAGACTGAAAATATGACGGTTCCTCCATTTCCATAAGAACCAACAAGTAAACACAAAAATAATAAATCACTGGATTCCATCCGTCCTTTTAGCTTTAGACAGTAAATTCGAAAAAAAGCCAAGGATGAATATCCATCAAATAGAATTTAGTTTAATAGTTAATTTATAAAAGGTATTTGATGTTTTTATATGTGAAAATAACAAAGTTATAAACTAAAATTAATTCCAACACTCATTAAGTAAACATGCTATGAGAGGATTTTCATTTCCTCAGCCAGAAGTGAGAACAAACACAGCAGAAAGTACAAAGTCATCGCAATATGTATTAAAATGGAAATCCACAACAATGTATATGTTATGTACATTGCAATTATAATTACAATTACAACCCCTCCCCAATTTGTCTGTTTTGTACTTGTCCAGAAAGACTAACAATGACAAGAGACATTATTCAAATCATGTCCTTTGTTAAAAAACATTCCTCCATTCCCATCCAATTCTCAATTTCAGGAAACAAGAAAAATAAAACAGGAGCTACCCTTCTACACCACTTGATTTGGATTCCTCGGTAGCCAAATAAGCATGTCCTGAAACTGATATAATAATGAATCTCTGAAATATTGTTTCATACAAGCAAACAACAACATTATCTACCATGTCCTGAAACTGATATAATGAAGAATCTCTGAAATATTGTTTCATAAAAGCAAACAACAACATTATCTTCCCGAGGCCCGTTTACCTGCAGGGATGGGCAGCCCAAGCTCCTGACATTGTTCTTCATCTGGTTGTAAACTCTTTGGGATTGCACCGAATATCCTTCGTGTTGCTTCAAAACCAGAAGCCACATGATGCACATATGCCGATGCACCCTCCATGCTACTCGACAGCCCCAATGAGGTAGACATAAAGTTCTTTGTTGGACTTTTTGACAGTTTCCTTGTAAATTCCTGGTCTAGCTCAGTAACCCTTAAAAACCGTTCTGTGGCAGCCTCCCATGAAAGCTTATGCCTCTGTGCATCAGTCGGCTGGGCAGGCTCTTCAGCAAGTGCATGTCGTGTGAGCTTAACAAACCCATCACCATTGTCATATGTTCGGCAATTTGGGAACTGCTTGAAGAATTCATTTGAGGGGTGATTGGCACATACAACAATTTACCCATTGCCAATGCTTCTGCTGTGGTGGTGCAAACCACGTCTGTGGTGCTTGGATGAGAAACACTTTATAACTGAAAGAAATACAAGAATAATATGTAAAAATTCCAACCATGCTGACCCTCTCTATGAAAGGGGGGGTGTATTTGGAAGGAGAAGGGTTCAAACAGGTAACAAAATTGCCCTTGGGCTCACTGATAATAACCATGAGACTAATTAAATTTCCAAACCACTTTTTTCCCTGGAATACCTACATTGCTATTATAATTAGAAATCATTGCATCCACATACGAGTCAAAAATCAGAAATCAATGTTCAAAGGAGAGTCATCCTATATTTTCATCCAAAAAATTAAAAGATTGGTCAAGACTCAAGTCAGACCAGCTTTCAATAGAATCATTGGTTGTGTAGTGCAATGTTGGACAACCAATTCTTTCTTTTTGAGGATGTCATCAAAACTATAGACTATTAATTTCATCTTATCAGCAGGTTGGCCAGATAGGTAGAAAGCTTACTCATGAAATAGAAGATCAGCATGGTCGCGTCCAGGGTGGACTCTAACAGCCAGTTCCAATCTTTTAGCAGTTTCTTGAACTTGATCAGAGTCCTCCCCCGTTCCATATAAATCGACCTCAAGTCCAGTTAATTCCTTTTGATTATCAAGAAGAAGCTCGAGTAGCTCCTTGTAGCCTTTGCTCCACACCATCTTCCCAATGTAGTAGGCACCTTTGGTGAAGGCCTGGATTCCATTTTGTTGTTGCTCTAGCTTTTTCTTGCCTATCTCAAGAAACTTGGGGTTGACTCCATGAACATTGCAAATTATGGATTTAGGATAATCCTGGGTGGCAGCAGATAATCTGATTACCTAAAGTACATCAGAGTTGAGATCTGGTTAGCAAGCATATCAAGACAATGACAATAATATAAGTCATTCACATCTCCTCAAATTTCCACTTCTAAATAAAATTGTTATAGAATATCAATTCTAATAATATAAGCCATTCTTGTAACCAAAAAATATATATAAGTCATTCATCTCTCTCTCTCTCTCTCTCTCTCTCTCTCACACACACACACACACACACGGCCTGCACTCATATGTCTCCAAATTATACAAAATGTCATTATTATTAATCATGAGCAGAGTTATCTAAGGGATCCAACAAACTACCGCTACAACTGTGCTGTCATACAGCTAACAAGTCCAAGAGCAAATTTCACCAAGTCTTATAAAGAATCTAGAACAAGCTAGATAAAATAAATTCTGGAAAGAAAAAGCGTAACTACCCAAGAAAAGCCATATCAAGAAAACTATCATTTATCCAGATGTACCTTGTGACAATATATACTGACAACCCCAATTATTAATATATTTTAGAAGAAATGCTTGCATTCTTCCATTCTTCTCCCTTCTCACATATTCCAAATAATTGGTATGCACAATTCCTACAACGAGCCGAAATTTAATTTTCCATCTCTTCCCATGATGATACCACGTAAGGTGCTCTGGCTCCTCGAGAATGGCAATATCTGCTTTTTCATCAGGGATTCTTTCCGAAATATCTCCAACAGCAAGAATGCTCCTTTTATCTAAAGAAAACTGCAACAGAAGTGACAACATAAGTTGATACTACGATATAAGGCATGGAAAGAAGAAGAGCAGCTATCCTTGATGGTGCCAAAAGCAAGACAAAGGAAAATATTGCATAGGGAACAGGGGAAGATGAGTCAACCTGGATGTCCACCAGGTTGACTGGGCATGCAGATTATAATTTGTTAAACTTGTAAATGATTGGAATGTAAAGATCAGGAGAGTCAGTCCCAAAAGGACAAAAATAAATAAATACAATTTGTGATTCTTAAAACATAAGGAGTTTCAATAATAAGAAAAACTGGTCAGCTACACAGCCTACCATGAAAAAGGCAAAAGCATCCATGCTCTTTTGGTGTTACATAGATTACTACTCTTTGATTCCCTCGATATTGTAAAACTCTCAACCAGCAAGTAAAATGGATTTGTGCATGTACAAATTACAATGGTAATTGCAATAAATTAGTGGGTATATTTACCTTTCCAGGATAAAAAGTATACCAAAATCAGATTTGAATCCAGTCCTCTCATCAACCCAGTGACGGACATAAGTCTCCTGCTCTGCTGGTGAGCTGAACGTGATGTTGTTGGGATATACTAGTTTTTGGTCTTTCAATGATAACCAAGGAATGACCAAAGTGACGATTCTCTCCCCGTCTTTTGCAAGATAGGCTGCACGGAATAGAGGGTTGACTGCAGTTCCAGTCATCCATGGAAGGCTTGCAGTAGTGAATATCGCAATTTGCCGCTTCTTATCCATCCAATCATCAGGTACGCATGTAAAAACCAATCAGCTCTGTATACTACTGCAGTGCTCTCTTACAATTTGGACAACACAGATTGGGAATAAATAACCAAGTGTACACTGCATTGAGGAATAAATATGAAGTATCACTCGAACTGTATAACGAACTATGAAAGTTGTAACACCTTAAAAATGAAAGCAGCCCAAGTAATTTAATCACAGTTTGTATTAAATGAACACAGAAGCAAAAAATACTGTCATGGATGGAAGTATGATTTGTGGGACATTTTCCCCCGCATTCAATACTTATTTTCAGAACTTATACGTAGTTCTATGATTCTTTTGCAACAATTAAACATTGCTTACGATTATAATTTACAGTTCATATTATAAATACAGAAAAATTGCATATACAGAATTAGATTCCCCCAAAAAAGAATCAAATGGACAGTGTAACTTAACCCATTTCCACTTTTTGTTTTTCAATAATTTCCTCCAGATTGATAAAATTACAACAACAAAAATCCACCATACTCCCAAGCTTTTGAGATCGAATACATGTAAAAGCTATCTGAATACACCAAATCCTTTTCAATTTATAATATGAAATTCGCGAAGTGTAATCGAAGCAACCTAATTAACTCGACAGCGCTCAAACAAATACAGAACAGAATTCTCATAATTTTTTATTTATTTAAAAATAGAGCATATATAATTAAGCAAAAAAGAAACAAATATCATGAAACAAATAGTTTCTGACTGAGAAAACTGTACCTTACAAATTTTCCGAAGAAAAAAGGAAGAAGTGAAGCTCAGAATCTGAAGGAAATGCAGGCAGAGACGAGAGAGAGAGAGAGAGAGAGAGAGAGAGAGAGAGAGAGAGAGGGCGAAAGACGGTTGGTTGCGTTGAGTAGAGGAGAGGGAATAAACTTTTCCGCGTGGGCTGATGGCTGCTTATACGACGTCGTGGAATAATACCTGTCTCACTGTTTCACGTCAAATCGCTCTGAACAAACTGTTCTTGGTCTTGGTTGTCGGTTGGTGCGGACGCAACGTTAACTGCGAAGGCCGTTGTCCTTCAACCTCGTGGAATGGTACCCTTTTTCATATTCCGACCATATTTTTTTATTTTTTATTTTAAAAAAGGACTTCCAAGGAATCCAAAATTCAACGTATACTCATTCTTAGCATTATTGATATAGATAAATCTTATATCATGTAATTTCTATAAACAAACCAAAAAAAATCCAAAATATGACCGTTGAACCTAGCGAGTTTAGTTTTGATTATTAAATTACTTTGATGCCTTATTGAGTGTTTTGGGTTTTTTATATGAGATTTTGGGGTTAGGCTTGTTTTAAGAAATCAAAGGCAGTTTTGTAATTTATAACAAGTTAAAAGCTTCTTGTTATGTTGTAAATGAGTTTTAAATACATTTTTAAAGTCCATTTCATTTTTTTTTTTTAAATAATTTGGACTCCTATATTGAGTATAATAGTGAATTTCCTTTCTTTTTTGCTTCTTAGGCCTTATGAGTATACCTGTAAACGAGTCGGATTCGGATCGGATATATCTCAATTCAAACCGAATATATTTATAATTGGATTATCGAATTTGTATCGTATTCGGACTATTAGATTGCACTTATCAATTCATATTCATTACGCATCAGATCAAATTATTGTCGATTTATTTGTGATGTACAAAAAAATTAAATTTTCATTAGTGGCCTCGTTCTTTTATTGTATTTATCTACTTTTTTATATCAATTTTTGATATTTTATCATAAAAATTAGTTTTAAGTGTATTCTTAGTGTATATAAACTAAAATTACTCACTTACACATATAAAATATTAATATAAAGAATAGAAAAACAAAATTATACTTCATACTAAGTCGAGTAGCATTATTATCGGATCGGATCAACTATAATCCATATTTGGATCCATTTATAATTAGATTATCAAATTCATATTGTAATCAGATTATCAAATTGAGAAGTCCAATCCATTTCCTATTAATTACACAAGATTTGGATCAAAATCTCATCCATTGGCAAATCTACTTATAAGTGTACAAGTAGTTTTGTTTTATATCTAGTAATAAGTGCAATTTAATTTCATTTTTATAATTATGTTTCCAGATAATAATATAAAGATTTGAAGTTAGGAAGTAGACAATGACCAATTGATTTAGTGATGATTTGATTTCGATTTATTGGAGGAGGCTCAAAGTTTTGAAAAACTTCAAATTTTATAGACGATAGTTTGTTCTAATATAATTTTATAGAAGAAAGTTTGTTCTATTGTGATTTTATAGACAAGAGTTTGTTCTGGTGTTGAATAAAATGAAAATAATTCAATATAATTATTAAGTTATATAATCTCACTCCTCAATTAGATATGGTTGAGTTAAATAAATTTTCAGCATATATTGTTAATATAAAATTCTTCACATATGGTGGGTGGGACTGAATTGGACTATTTCAATTAAAATGAATGTTGAGGCCCAAAAAATCCATGGATTGAGTCCGAGTAAATTATCAGCCCAAAACGATACTCTATTAGGAAAAAAACGTAAAAGGAGGTACATGAAAACTCGCCACACGTGAGTTATAATTCGCGTGCCATGCTAAATAAATTTGTCATGCTAGGGGTGGAGATAAAATATACTGGCTCTACAAGCCCATGCCAAAATTAAACATCGCAGTCCTGCTCAATGATGATAAAATATGTCAAGCGACATGCCACGCAAAGCACGAAATCGTTATCTCACACCCAACCACGCTACAAGCCTAAGTGGGCCCAAGCCACTCAAATGCCCGGGGCTTGCTTGAGTGAGTTGTGGTATGGATGGTAATGAATCAACATGAGACCCATTGATGGGCCGAGAAATGGAAGGTCTCGGGTTGCTTGGGAGCCTCGAGACTTAAGCCAATTTCTTAGGCCCAAACATGTGGGTGAGCACAAGAAAGAAAAGTAGCCCAATAGCCCAAGCAAAATAGCCTATTAACACAACCTAAAAGCACAATATTTAACAAAAATAACCCATTTGCTTAATGAACCACCTTGGCCCATACAAAAAAAACTCCAAAATAAGCCACAAAAGCCTCAGCACTTTGCTGGAAAAATAGAAGCCACGTAGAGAAGTTTGGCAGGTTCATTGAACAGAGCTGCTGGAAGGTTCCAGGACATGGAGAGAACAAGTTCCAAGCAAGAAACACTCAAGAAACCAAGGAATATTAGCATGCGAGTTGCCAGAAGCACCATTCGAACCAACATATATATATCCCAACTCCTTCCCCATCAAACTTGGCCAAAAAAAAAAAAAAAAAAAAAAAAAAAAAAAAAAAAAAAAAAAAAAAATGGCTGGGAATGGAAGTCTGCCATTAAGAAGTTACGGGAAAAAGGGGTCTTGAGCTTCAAAAAACTCTGATATGGTGCAAATAGATAGAATAAATTTCATCAAAATGAGAAAAGCCAAGGGATGAGATAAGAAAAGAGGGAAAAGCTTAGCCAAAATGGGTAGAAGCCATTAGGGTTTCTTGAAAAATGGTGGTTTCCAGCGGCTATAAATTTCGGTTTCTCCTACCTAACGAATCCAACCCAGATTCAAAGAGCAAGCTTTCTCTTTAACTTGCAAAAACCTAGCAACCTCGTGCACTATTCACCTTCATTCTCCATTCTTCTCTTCTGGCAGACAGAGCATCTGTCAAGCTGCCGGAAGAACTATGTTCTCTATTTCCTCTTTCTTAGCCAAATCTCTAACGAAACTTCTCCTTTCTTACCCTAACACTTCCTTTTCCCTCAAAGCAAGCCTAAATTTCCTCTTAGTGCTAAACTCATGTTGATTTTGCTTCCATGTCACATGCCACTCACGTTGAGCTTAAGAGTTTATCTGTAAGCATGAAAAATTACCTGTAAGCTGCTATTATTTTGGTTGGTGCTGTCCTTTCGAAGTGTTTTTGTGGCTTAATTTTCGAACTCAGACAAATGGGACAATTCCATCAGTTTGCCATTTACAGCAGCCCAGCCCAGCCCACTTACAGCTGTCAGAAGAAAAAGTCCCATACAATGAACAAGAATCCTGATCGTTATTTGGTGCAATGAAACTCAACTTATTAAAATGGATAACAAACAAATCTCACATATGTGTCTTACAAGTCACACCACCTCTATAAATGAGACTCATAAGAACTTATTTGGGCTTAACTCCAATCCAAATCAGACCACCAAACGAGGCCTTAATGAGGCCATACTTTGTTTTATCTATCTACAGAACATGTGTATATTTATTTATATCTATTCTACTATTAGAAAAAGACATCAATTAAGTTAGAAATATGAGAAAACATTTTCTTGTCAATTGTGGGAAATATATATATAGGGCAATATCTTGTTTTTAAAGTGACACCATCTTCTAATAATTACTTCAAAAAGTAAGAGATTAGTAAGCTAAAGGATGATAAGGGCATTTCCATGTTACACACCCAATTTCCAACTAATTGCAAACGTGTGAGATCACAAAGAAGATAGATCAACGCAACCAAGCGTGTGAAACAAATCCAAAACCCATTTCCAGCGAAAAAAGCAACAAACAAACACAGCGTAAGGAAGGAGGACTGGTTGTTAGGCTGATGCTTTTTATTAACACCCAAACCCCCTTCTTAAAATTACAGAAAACCCCCCACAAAAATCCCCACATAAAAGTCGCTTTTAAATCCCCAGAATTTTTCGAACCAAAAAAAAACTTGCCCCGGATTTTCGTACCGGGACCTCTGAAAATCGAAAGTTTTCCAGGTAATAATTCCTTTTCCCCTTTTTTTCTCCCACCAATTTTACTTCTTTATGTCTCCACTGTATGCTGCTTTACGTCTTGGTCTTGATTTTTTGATTCGGTTTTATGGGTATCTGGGAGCTTGCCTTTATATCCACCTTCTTGTTTGCTTTCCGAGAAAACCCACGGAAAATGATATGCTTTCATTCTTTCCGTTGTTTGGTTCACGGGAAAATTTGATACTTAGCTGAAGTCAGGTAGATTAGTATTCATTCGAGTTGTAATCAAGCTAATGACTTTAAGCGGTGGAAGCTAGAATGTTGCTTTTACCCTAGGGAAACAAGTGCATGCTTGATCTGAGAGTTTGAATCTGTGGAACTTTGAATTTTAAACTTATTTTTAGCATTTGAAAAATGCTTTTTTGCTTCCAGGAGTTATTTGTTTGTGAGGGCTCTGTACAGCCCTTTAGTCTCATTTGCATCGCAATTCAGGTTTTGATGAAATACTTTGGGCTTAAGCAATTAGGGTGTTAAGAAACTCTGAATCCAAATGAAAAAGTTAACATCTTATGGCTTATGGTATTGTTTGAATGTTGAATTTGACAATGATGCTGTATGTTTTTCTATTACTAGTTTTGAGCTGGAAGAGATGTTGATGGGTCACACGGATGGTCTATCTACGCCTCGTTCCTCGAGGACCAAGCTACTTCCTTATGCCGAATCCGATATAGATGAGGATGACAGTGCAGGCTGTTCTGAGAAAATACTATACTCGGCTTCATTTGAAGAGCTTGCAATGAATATCGTTAAGTATGACACTGTTATATGGCTTTCTATATCAATATTGCTGGTTTTAGCTTGGGGAGTTGGCATCATCATGCTGTTATATCTGCCCTTTAAGAGATATGTTCTTCAAAAGGATATTTCCTCGCGCAAACTATATGTTACACCTACTGAGGTAGTTTACAAGGTACGGACATAATTTAAATTTGATCTTTTCCAAAGACTGCATTGAAGCAGTCTCTATTTTTTGTTACTTATATAATAAAAAAATACGTTAAAGCAATTCTTCATTTTTTTTTCCTCTCCGAAAAGGTTTCAAGGCCATCTTTCATACCCTTCTGGGGCATCACTACAATTGAGAAGCATGTACCCCTTTCCCTGGTGATTGATATCATTATAGAACAAGGTACTCATTTCAGCCTTACTATGCCGTGCAACCTACAAATATGCCTACATTCACTCATCACTAATTCTAGTCCTCCTTCATAGCTTACATTTTGAATTCATGCACATAATTTTGTCTCCAAGTCATCACTCCTAAAGAACATGAAACTATTATGAATTCCATGGTGGAGCCACACTTCGACCTGAAGTGGCCGTGCCCGCCCCCCAGAGCCTCCAATAGCCCATGCAAGATCCACAACAAGTTTACAAAACTATCTGCAATTGTTTACACAATTTTGAAAAACCTGTGTTATTGTCCCCAACACCCCAAAGAATAAAAGCTAGCTCCTTTACAGGGCTAAGTAAATAGTCCTGTAATAAGGTGGCTATAAGGTTTTTGCATGAGAAACCAGGTTACCATCTTAAGAGTTTCATTTTTCAAATGAGGACTGGAAATGTAGTGCAGAAAAGAAAAGTTAAACAGCTAGAGGCAAAAGTCCACAGGGCATTATTCAACAAGGTCTCTAAGTGCACTACACCATATGGAAGTTTGCTAGATTGCATTGCACTATAATGGATGGCCAGTTGCATGTTGTTTTGGAAAATTGCATCATTCATCTCCGCATTAGCTTGTTGACTATAAATTTGATTTCAATGTCCATTTGGGTTAGCAAAGTTACATGGCATAGGTACTAACAGTATTTTCTGTTTCATTATGTACAGGTTGCTTGCAGTCAAGGTATGGAATTCATACGTTTAGAATTGAAAGTATAGCACATGGAAAAGCTGCGGCTGTAGATGAACTACAGGTTCAAGGGGTTTCTAACCCTAGTGGTTTGAGGAAGGTGAATAAAACTGTCTTTTAGTTGTCATGTTCTTCTTGTCTGAATCAGCCAATCAGATTTTTTGTGAACGTGCATTCTCTTCAGTTACTATTGTTTTGTCTTACACCATTAAAGAAACTTGTCGTGTTAACATACAAACTGAGTTTTTTCATTGTTGCATGACTAGTAGGTCATCATAACAGAAGCTGCAAAAGCCATACAAGATAGTGGTATAAGTTGGAAGCCTACTGCTCCCACTGCTGAAGGGGAAAGTGTGGCTCGCACTGGATCATTGAGTGAGGGACCTGCTGTTTTGAGATCACCATCTAAAAGCTTAAAGGTATTTAATTCGTTGATGGAACTGTTGCAATAAATAGATTTTTTTTTCCATCTTTGTCAAACTTGTTTCAATTCTTTTTTATTTTTTATTTTGACAACTTCTTCAATTTGCTATCCCTGGCCAATTCTGTAAGGCAGGTATTTGGTGGACTGATTAAACATGTTTTTGCCCATATTATGCAGATGGCAGCTTCACCACGCTATGCCTCAATAGAACGCAGAGGTGTAGTACCTGGGGAATTGCTGCTTAATAAGATTGAAGAAGTCAATAAATCTGTGAAGGTATATATGTCTTCTTCTTCTTCCCGTTATTTCTTTTTTTCCTCAGTGGAGTGTCTCTCTAGCTGCTTGATTAATGAGTGGCATTATCAAACTTCAACTTCCTTAGTCTTTGGTGTTCAATTACTTATTTTATGCTGCACCTGCTCATCTTCATAACAGAAAATCGAGTTCTTAATAGAGAAGTCTCATACTCAGCCCGAGTGAGAGCAGCTGAAGTAAAGTCAGATAGAACCTAGGCCTGTGAATTACCTTTGGCAAACAGAAATCAAGTGGTGAAAGAACAAAGAAGTGCAAGAATTTCGGCACTTGTCTGTAACTACTGGAATAGGATGCTAGTAGCTTCCCCAGTTTCCTCGTTTGTAGCTGTATAGGATGTTGCAAAGTTGAAAAACAGCACATGATTTCCTTGTTGTCTCCTTATGGTAGAGATGTGCATTTTCTTGTGATTTTCTCTGTATTTTTGTATCGACTGACATTGCTGAGGCATAATTGTATGAATTTTGACTTTTTAACTTGTTTGTGTTTGGAAAGGGAAAAGACTTCAATATTTTGGATCGCCCTTGTGACCAAAAATCTTTCTTTCTTAGTCCAGTATTTTAGACTTAAATATTTTTTTATTATTTTATTTTGGGGGAAAAACTCTTGTAATAATTTTACAATGTGAATGATTTTTGGATAGTAAGGTATGTTTTTGTCATTACGTGTTTATTGATGATGACTTCTAGTTATAAGTATTTTTGTATTGGATTATGTGAGGCCTCAATTTAAGTTAGCACAAGGCCCTCAAAATCTTAAGGACAGCCCTGCCGGTAACAAGGGTATTTGGTGTGGAACACATGAAGAAATATATTAGTTGTGAACCTTATGTGATGGTAGAAATGATAGATGATGAAATAGAGTTTCTTGTATTGGCAAGTCATCCACTATGGATGGTAATGTCCAATCAATAAGCTGTACATTCCATCAGACAAATACAGAATACCCAGAAAGCAACAAAGTACCTTACTCAGCAAGCACTCAATATGAATAGCTATGATCGTCATAATGATATTTCATGTATAGTTGTAAAAAGATAAAGGAGAGAGAAATTTTTTAAAAGACGCCAAAAGGGACAAAATTGCCCTTATTTATTTTTGGATTTCCTAAGAAATCTTTTACATTTGCATGTCTTTGATTTGAAAGTTGAGAGGTTTTTCTGTCTTTTTTGAAAAAGCTTTGGCTTTTTCCAAAAATGAAATTTTTTTTTGGCTAAAACCTAAATTTACTTTCTATTTATTAGATAAGAAAGGATTATGTTCTCTTATCTTTACCATTTCTATTTAGTTAGTAAATATTTTTCATAATTAAAAAAGAATCATTTATCATTTCTAATTTTTTAAAATTTATTTCTTGAAATATCAGATATTTCATAGCAAACTGTTAAGTATTGTTCAATAATTACAATGTTATACTTTCACAATCAAATTATGCAACTTCACAAAATCATCCATGGAGAGCTCTTCTGGTCTTGACTGCAAAAGAACAATCAGAAGAATAAATTTAGCAGAATACATACATAGAGCTAGACGCAGGACCTTTAAAACCCTTTCCCCACATAATTGGTAAGCAGAAATGAAATAGCAATCATTACCGTGGAAGGACGACCAACATTTCCTAAAGCATTTTCAATCTCCAGGGGCGTGCATATGTGCTGAAGTGATCTCCTCAACATCTTGCGTTTCCCATTAAAAGCATAATTGACCTGTACGCAACATACAAACAAGGCGTCCTATAATGAGGGCAGAAAACAAAGTGCCCTAATTCATCTTGCTCTCAAATCATTAACTTATGCATTGCGGGAGAGATGAAACAATGGAAGAATTGATTGAGAATAACAAGACTATTGACCTTTTTTTTCATCTTAAATAAAGACAACATGCCTTAGACGGGCTACGGATGTTTTAACTAGAATGAGTATTAAAAACCCTATCCCTACAACTGTCTTAGAGATTAAAAAGGTTAAAATTTCAGCATCTGTTGCTTCCGTTCATTACAGGAACAACATATATTTGGCAACGAAACTCCGTAATAATATTCTAAAAAGAATGATAGATTATGGAAATTGAAACAACCATTGAGAAGAAGCTTTTAGTCGAGGACACTGGGGGGTAGTGTGCAGGTTGCTTCAGCTTAAATTTAACAACAGCAGCATCAACCTGCAACACAAACAACATCTTACTACTTGGTTGAAGTTTCAATAAAATTGTTCTGCTATGTTTTTAAACAAAGTACAATAGACAGTGTTAGAAGTCATATATATATATTATATATATATATAACTTTACGGGATTATAAATACTTACATTAGGCTGAGGAAAAAAGTTTGTCCTTGGAACCTTAATTATGAATTCAGGATCTGAAAAGGAAAATGACAAGCAGAAACTAAGTCAGAAAATATATATATATATATATATATTCAATCAAAATTTTGGGAAAATAAACTGTTACGGGTCAAAAACTGTCCAGCAACAAATGTAGATAACTTTTTATCTTGTATTATCTCCTCGTATTAGTAATACTCAATTACTCATTACTGGTTAAAAGAAACAGAAGTATATACAGTTGCATCTCACTGCCATGAAAACTATCAGACTAACTTATCTCACTCTTTCACTGTACACAAGTTAACACCTATTTCTCATAGGTTCTAGTTTGCTATGCATTAAACAGCTTCAATAATTAAATTAAATTATCAATAGCCTACTATGTCCAAATTAAATACAGACATAGAGATACCTGAATAGAAATTGACTAAGATATTGATGGGGCGGTACTCAGATGTCCGCAAAGATGATTCTACCAAGCGCAAAGCGGTCTCCTCCTGAAATGATCTTACCATTATAGGGATCGAATGAATTAGTTATGACCACTATCAGATCCATAAATTCAGAAGTCTAGGGATCTAGTTTGACTTGCTCTGCTCCTAAAAGATCCAATCACATACTCTCTACTATCCCTTTTCCCTATCCTACTAAGCCGTTAGCTTCAGGCTATTCTTGAATGATATGCAATCCAGATAACATCACCAAACAGTGAAAAAGGCATCAATACATGGCTACATAAGATAATTTTACAGTCATAGATCAATAAAATAATGCCAACCTGGAGTAAGAGAACTACATCAGAAAAGATGTCACCCATTGGAAGAAGTTGTTTCACTACATTGGTACTTATATTAAAGGGTATATTAGCGACTACCTGCAATCAAGAAACGCAAATAGGCCTTTTTAGGATATCGTGGGCATGGGGAAAAGACCAACTGTTTTCATATGAGCATGGATTGTTGAAATTAGCATGCATCTCATTCAGAAGTCAAAGTCATTTTAAGCAACCAAGTAGGATTCTTACTTTTGTATATCTTGAATTTGCACCAGATTGCTCTATACTTCCCAAAAGTGATGACATATGTGAGTGAATGTGACATTTGACAAAGTCCTCTTTCAAAACCTACAGGTTTCAGTTCTTGCAACATTAGTCACCACGGCATCAGCAATAAAAACATAAAGAGCATAAAACCCTCAATTCCATTATGTCCAGGATTCGAAGATGTTGCTCCAAACACACACTTTTAGGAACATACTACCAAGTTTAAGAGCTCATTTACTAGTAGCATAAGGCGGAGCTAAATATGACCAAAATGTGGTTTACCTTGAACCGTTCAGTCTCTGCAAATCTTTCACTCACAAGAGTAGCCATGTGTGGATCCTAAAGCACATAAAACACCCTACAAAATCAGTGTACAATACTAAAGCAATTTGTCACATTTGCAACAAATACCACTCTTGTTGCAGGGCTTCAAATTCAAAGACCCAGGATTCTAATTGAATCACCAGAGTAGAAACACACACGTACACAAACAACCTTTTCAACTGCGAGCACAAATGCACCGGCACTAATAAGAACATTTGTCAAAGAACCTGTTCCTGGCCCAATTTCTAACCCCACATCACCTTCTCCAACATTGGCCGCAGCAGTGAGCTGCTCGTTGATCTCAGAGTCCAACATATAATGCTGGAAATACAAACAAATTAAACAAACTAAGAAAATTCAAAATCAAATCATTCAGAAAATAAATCCGAGGCTGCTTACCATTTCTAGCATACAATACATATTAAATTTTGGAAAAATCTTTATAGAAACATAATTGGAACCAAACCCACATATTATCTTCCACACATTGTCTAAGAAACTAAACGAGAACACAGAATTTGAAAAATAAAAAACAAAGAGAAAAAATGGAAAATTTATTAAGTGGGAGAAGAAAGTCGAAACGAGAGAGAGAGAGAGGAGGAAGTGAAAAACCTGGCCGAGGGATTTTCTAGGGAATCGGCCTTTGGAGTTGAGAGCAGTGAGAGTGGCATGGTTGTCATCTGGGTTGCTTCTTCTTCCTTTTCCTACTCTTCTTTTTGTTTTACCAGCGCAAGCTCTTCTATAACAAAGTGATGATGATGATGATGATGATGTGGGTGTTCGTGCACCGGGGTTGCTATTGTGCATCGGGAGTGGAGTTTTCAGTTTAATAATAAGATTTTCAGGGGGGGATATTGGCGGGAGAGATTGCTGAAGAAGAAGAAGAGGTGCCGAGTTCATGTCTGTTCAGTGTTCACTGTTGATAATTTTTTTATTTAAAATTTTATTTTTGGGACAAGTAAAATTTTATTAAGGAAAAAAAAAGGAGATAAAATGAAAAGGCTGCATTTTCAAAAGCAAGCCCAAAGAAGAACCATTTGCAGTCCATTTGCAACAAGGAAGCCTAAAGATAAACAAAGTGACATAAAAAAACTGTGTAATATATATTCATTAATTTTCTCCTATGTGTCGAAAATAATTCATCAAAAACTCAAACGAAAGATTTATGCAGATATCTTAAACTGCAATTGACAGAAAAGTAAAAATTCGTAATTCTAAAAAAAGAAGACAAGCATTTTACTAAGCGTAATTATCTCGACCCAATTTTCTCAGTTAGGTTACAAATAATATCTTCACAATAAATATTGTACATCCATTAAATTGTTGCTCACACTACTACTACCTTCATCATTAGCAGAACTAGTAGTACCCTCTTTGTCACTTCCCTTTTTAATAGCATCCCCAACCAAAACAAGAGCAAAATGAAGCTGACCGCCGTTGTCGTAGCCACCATTAATCTCATTGTTGTTATGATTAACCCGGAATGACCAAAGCTCCACCACATCATCTACGTCTAGTCCATGCTCACTCACAATGCGTTTCCAGGGAGATTTTAACACATAGAATTCCTTTGCTTTGTTTGGATTCCACAACCCCAAGTTTATTTCTTGTTGCTTAAGCTTTGGGTCTATCAATGGAACTGTAAGGAACCCATAATTTCTTAGCATATACTTCTCATGGGGTTCAAGGAAAGTCGTGGATTTGGTTTGCTGCCGAGGCAGCAGCAGCCTGCATTGCTGGCTCTTTATGTCACTCTCAAACAAACTCTTGTGCACCAACCTTTGCACATTTGTCCCGTTCATATTTCCAATCAAACTCTTGAATTCTTCAGGCAAGTTAGGGGGAGGCAAGTCGTTGTCGAATTTGACCTTCTTACCCTTGTTCTTTGCCGCCACCACCACCCTCCTCTTTTTCATCTTAATGTCTTTCTTCACGTTCAAGCCCGATACCATGTCGGAAAAGCTAGCTCTCTTCTTCTTAGCACAGCTTAGCTTTTGGCCGAATATGGTGATACTTTTACATGACGACCTTAGTTTCTTAGGGTAGTTCAGTATTAGATATTCCTCAAGTAAACTGCCACACAAAATTACACAGTACATAATTAATTAGTACCTAAGGAGAAATTATATGAAACAAAAGTCATTGGTGGATGCATGCACAGATTATGATTAATTATATACTAATTAACATAATTAGTTAAATTAATTAGCTTCTAATAGTAACAGAGCCGTCCTCTTGGCATTAGACGCAATATTGAATCAATCTATGTTAATCTTGCGTGCTGATGATTTAGATCAATTGAAGAACATGATTTTGGTTTCTCCTAGAGAAAGAAGAAGAAGCTTACTTTGTGACTTGTTCGATGGGGCAGTGAGAGACTTCTTCTTCTCCTCTTATGATGAGCCCGTTTTCTTCTTTCTGTGACAAATGAATCAAATAAATTGTTGCAATAAATAATTGCACTATAAATATTTAAAAATGAAATTTACGACTGATTAATTATGTCGGAAATTCAATTAGAGAAATTAATATTGTATACTTACTGGAGTAGTAGACATATTGCTAGGGCCAGCAGACGTATCATTCAAGAAGTTGAAGTTGGAGAAGCGTTTCTTTGGAGGTACCAAAATTTCTTCCTTCGTTTTCTGGCCAGCAATAAAACAAGCTGCCTCCGCCAACGTATCGAGCGGAGACCAGCCATAGCCATGCTCATCATCAGAATCTTTCTTACTGAGCAAACCCATCTTCTGTTCTTCTTCCTCCTCTCGAATCATAATGCTCGTCGATTTCATCAATGCGTGCTTTCAAGTGAATAATAGAGCGTATAAGAAAAATTTGAGTGAGAGAAGTGAGAAGGGTTCTTGTGTTATATAGTTTCTCTCTTACGATAATTTTCCCAGTGTGATTTGGAAATAAGAAAGTTTTGGGAATTTTGAATCCCAATTGGAATCGAATAAAACTCCATAATGTTTTAGGAAAGTATAAGTAAAAATATGTAACACGGAAATTGGAAAGTTTAATTGGTCTCCAAGTAATCTTGTATAACATTAAACCTTATGTGCCACGTAGTCACACCAAAGGCTAGAGGAAATAGAAACTCCAAGGGCTTTAGGGTTTGAGCAGATTAAAATTAAAATTAAAATTTCTAGAATTAAAATTGATGCCCCAACTCCAAAACATGTCGGGTTTATTCTGGTATACTGGGTGTGATGAATTTTTTTCCTTCCAATTTCACCTTTTTTAAAAACAAAGCTAAAATAAATAAACGAACACGATATATATATTTTTTATATTTCTGAAATTGAATACGTTGATATATAATCAAATTGCTAAACAATTTCACAATTATTATTATTATTTTTTGATAGTGATGATCCTTGAGTCTTAACCTAGAAATGAACAATCATAATCCAAGACCAATTTTTAAATGGCAACGATTTTTGGTCATCTTGATCTGCCCACATTTGAGACGTGGAACATAAAATCTAATACAAGTGACCAAAAACTATAGTTGGTCCACTTGAAAATATTTAATTCATCATCCAATTAAAAGTTACTTGAAAAGAGTTAACATCTAACCAACTAAACTGCAATTTATTTTCAATGTTACATTAATGACATGTTTACTTACTCGAAATTGTTCAAGTCAGCAATGAATAAGGAAGAGAACTAAAAGTCCACACACCCATTGTTGTCTACTTCCTTCGCTACCTTCTTGCTTAAGAATAGGATCCCCTCTCTTAACCAAAACAAGGGCCAAGTGAAACTCCTGTTTTGATTTACTAGTTTTGAGTTTTAAATCTTGAATTATAGGTATGCATACGACTTATATGTTCTTTTTACTTGAGTTATAGCTAGGTAACATATTGTATGCCCAGTTTGTTTTATGTACTTGAATTAGAGCTGAAAGATTATGCGACTTGCAAGGAGCTTGTAGTTCAAAAAGTTAAGAGCAGTTAGCCGTATATTACGCGACTTGTATTATTGCGTGTGCTTTAAAGCGATCAAGAAAATGATAAGCAGTTAACAAATTAAGTGACACACAACTTCGAAGGTTTCGTATTTTTATATAAGTGATTAATCCTAAATGAATGAACTAAGTTTTTATTCCAATCCAACGGTGGAGTATTATAATAAAATAAATCTATATGTAATCAAAGAAAATCGTGTGTACACATATCTTAGGAAAGTTTTAGTAAATATATAACATGGAGAGAGAAAAGCTTAATTGATTCTCAAGTAATACACAAAACACTAGTTACCTGTGAGATCACTGCTGTTTCGAGTTTTCCTTCTTGTAAATTAGATTAATTTAAAATGATTTAGAATATTACTTGCAGAAAAATAAAAATTAAAAAAAGGCAATGTAATAAAAAAAGAGTCTCTTGCCGGATTTTAGAATATCCTTTGTTTAAGTTACATCTACCCATATAATCTAGCCCAGATTTATTCGAACTTAGGAATATTGGACTTGGTTTGATTTCTATACCACGGGCCATAAAATTGGGTTTCATATTGGTTTTTTTTAGTTTTCGTTTCTTCTCACTTTATACCTTTTAGGCCTTTTTTGTTATGTTTTTTTAAATAATATTTTTAAGCTAAGAGACCACATTTTATTATTATTATTTATGTATAAATTAAAGGCGCAAGCTTTTTACTTTGGATACTACACGCCTTCTAAGGAAATACTTCTCATTCATGCGAATCACAGTTTGCCACATATGCAAAAATAATTCTTCGAAAGCACAAAAAGAAAAACTTTTGCACGCATGTCATATTGCTATTGATAGGAATGTAAGAGCTCCTACTTACATGGTAAGGAAGGAATTTGATCTAAAGTAATTTATTAATATTTCTTATTTATTCAATAAACATTGTCTAGGTTCAAACTTGAGATTTCTTCTAATAAAATAAAAATTGAGTGTGATTAGATCAAATGATAATTTGTAAGGGACTTCTACTAACTATAAGTTGAGCAAGGGACTTCTAGTTGTAGTTTTAATGACGAATTCATGCATCTGAAATACTAGGCTCGATTTCCCCACTCCTTGAAAATCCAACTATAAGATGAAAGCCAAGCCACATGGTCATCCTCAACTTCGTTTTTTGGCTCTAAAATCAAATACACGATAAAAACAGAGGAACAGTGACCGGTGGGTCTTTCTTTCCAAATCAAAGAAGTGACAGCAGAAATTTCGTCATAAACCGTACATTGCTAACTTCCAATTGCCGTGAAGCTCTTCGGATCTTCCCACCAGCCCTTGCAAAACCCAAATCAGATTCACTGCCAAATCGCCAACGCAGAGAGAAAAAAGTGGTATGATGAGAAAGAAGAGAGTGTTGGTAGTCGGAGGCACAGGTTATTTGGGGCAACATGTATTGCAAGGCTTTTCAGAGATTCAAGCCACCACCCCTTGCGATCTGGCCTTTACCCACCACTCCAATCCTCCTCCCCCAGCATTGCTCACTATATTTCCTCATTTGCTGCCTTTCCATGTCGATTTGAAGACCGGCCAAGGATTTCAAGCCATTTCTCAAACGTTTGGGCCGGTTAGTTCTCAATCCACTACACTACAACACTAACAGTTCTCCTTTATTTTTTTATATTACAATGATTTTAATTTCTGCGTTCAAGTTTCAACCTGTGGAATCTATAATTTGGAGTGTTGGGCGTTGTGGGATATGAATTTTGGTTTACTGGGTCTGAATTTTCTGCATACCACGCACACTGCTAATGTTGTATTAGCTGAAATGGAATGTGATAGCTTAATGGGTTTTGCTTGCTTTTTGTTTCTTGTTGTGGGTTTTTTTTTTTGTTTTGTTTTCATTTTCCTGCTAAATTTACTTGTTAATTATAGGGAATATTTACTTACTCCGTTCCATTTTTGAGTTGAGGCTCATTCATTGGTATTTTTTCTTTCAAAAAAAATACTTTTAGGACTCTTATAGAGCCATGTATAAGCCATTAGTTGTTCTTACAATATGTGAAAAGCTCCTGCTGGTATGCGTTTTTTGAATGAAAAGATGAATATGATCTCAAGTACTTAACTCAACTAATCAAACTTTCAAGTGCTGAGAAGTGTATTAAATTTGAATTGCCAGCCTGATGTGGTCATAAACTGTGCTGCACTCTCTGTACCTCGTGCCTGTGAAATGGATCCTGCTGCTGCTATGTCTGTGAATGTGCCATCTTCTCTTGTAAATTGGTTATTGAGCTTAGAGGAGACCAATTCTCTTCTGATCCATTTGTCAACCGATCAAGGTGAAGCCACTCTTAATCATTCTGTTTTAGATTTGGCTTAATAAAACCAGGCAAGAGAAAAAGGAAAAAAAGAAAGAAAAGAAAATGGCAATAGGAAGAACAATAAGTCTCCACTGCAGCCACAATTTTCTTAATAATGTGTGGTAGAGAGGATGTTTAACTGGAGACCAGTACCCATTGCCCACTCCAGACCATGAGATACGTCAAGGGGAGCAACCGCGCTGATGACCAAGGCAGGCCACCTTAAATAGCCCATAGACCCTTGTGGTTTGCCAGTTGAGGTAGATAAGGTCAAGAAAAGTAGGATAGATATTGCTGGGTTAATTGAGTTGATCTTACAGTATATGTACTTTAGAACTTCTATGGAAATGAAGAAAAAAAAAAGGGAAGAGAGGAGAAAAGGAGAGGAGGAGGAGGGGGGGGGGGGGGGGGGGGGGGGGGTGGTTGTGGTTGGGTGGGGGTGTTTGAGTTACTTTTCATTGACATTGAGGAAATGGACCCTGCATATGAGGATCATGAATATCCGGTTGGTCTTATGAGTAGGAATTTATAAAGCTCGACTTTCTCAGCCTCCTTAAGCTTCACAAGACGATTCTTCACGGATTAATGCATTACCAGAATGGAAGAACCTTTTATTGGAGATTTTCATCATGTTATCACCTCTTTCAAACTATTTACATTTCTAATCTTTGCAGTTGATCCTCTTGATCTTGAACTCAATTTTTACATTTTACCTGCTGAAATTTTTGGCAATCACATGTTACTGTTGATTCCATTGAAATAGAGTTGACTAGAATCAGGGAGTGCAAAAAAGGCTGTTAAATTATTTTCCTGGGTTGTCAAATGCTTTATATTCCTACGGAGTTAGGCTTAATGACCACAAAGAATTATCTCAGTACGAGAACATTTAAAATGTAGGAACTTTTTAAGCACTCGCCCATGCACGACTTCATATGATCTGCAGTTTCTCTTTGGTAATTCTGAAAGACTGCATCCACATTGCAGACGTTGCTTTTTTCTATTTGAACCACTGATCTTTTGTTTTATACCTTTATGCTGATTATTCCTAGATCGTGACTGATGCCATTTTCCATCAGTTTATGAAGGGGTGAAGTCCTTTTACAAGGAAGATAATGAAACTGTACCTGTAAATGTTTATGGGAAATCAAAAGTGGCAGCAGAGCAGTTCATTTCTGAAAAGTGTTCAAACTTTGCAATTTTGAGAAGCAGTATCATCTTTGGGCCACAGACAGTCTCACCGGTTCCAAAATCTCTTCCAATTCAGGTGTGTACTGAAAACGGACCTTAAGTTGTATTTTTGCTAGTTTGTTGTCGATTAGTTTTGGACCACCTGCTAATTCGATACAAGAGAATAATGAATATAAAGATACAACTTAGTAAATCCGACCCTGGTACTTTACTTTGAGTCAAATCACTGATTTTCATGTGATTAATGTAGTGGATTGATGGTGTCCTCTCCAAAGGAAATACAAGCGAGTTCTTTCATGATGAGTTCCGTTGCCCTGTGTATGTAAAAGATGTTTTAGCTGCCATACTAGCTTTGTCCAAGAGATGGATATCAGGTATGAAGTTCATAACATTCATACTTTCATACTTGTTGGATCAACAAAATTTCTGGACCTGCAATATGTTTCCTTTTTTGTTAAATAGTTTTTTCTTTGTCTCTATGATACTATGGGTATTTTCTACTTTCTATGCTTTCACTTATGTATTGATGGTTGTGAACTTGTGATATTCATGGAATTGCTGCAGACGGTAAGCAAACAAAGTTGCTACTAAATGTCGGTGGACCAGATAGGGTATCCCGTCTTCAAATGGCTGAGACTGTTGCAGATATTAGGGGATACAATCCCTCATTGATCAAATCAGTGTCTGCATCATCAGTACGTGTACTTTGTACCAATTGTAGTTCTTGTCATGCTCAAGATACATAGTGATCAACACCTTTGTTGCATTACATTCTGAATCACAAACATGTCACTCATCAGTTTCAAGTTGCATTCAGATGACTTGATTTCCACGTTGCCTTGCGTTTGCTTGCCAACAAAAACCCTTCTTCTTCTCTTTTTTGGTGATGAGGAAAACCCTTCTGACTTTGCCTCACTAGCCAATTTGTTTACCCGAAATTTTGTGTACCTGAGAAATGTGTTGTACTTTCAGGTTGATCGTGGAGTAAAGTCTCCTGCTGACATATCCATGGATATCACTAAGCTGGTTCAGACACTTGGTGTTACTCCTACTTCATTTAGAGATGGTGTCAGATTGACGCTTTCAACGGAGGTTAAGTCTTGATGCCCTGAAGATACCGTAAATTGCATCCTAGTTGTAGTACTAAGGAATAAAAATCACTTTCTGTTCTACTGCATTGGGAAAAAATATCGTTAAAATTGTTCCGAAAGCAACCAACTTTGTACCCAAGAAACTTTAAATGTATACTTAAAATTTGCTGTTCAAAATTGTATGAAGGTACATACATTCATTGATTGAATTATTTGATGGGCATGAGCTCATCTAAATTGTATGCACAAACGTAAATAAGGAGGGCTAAATTTGTCTTGCACCATGCTTAACTAATAGATAGTTCCAATCTCTATTGGTCACCACCGGACACATAAGACAATTCTAAACCCTAATTCATACTACTTAACACGTCAATACAATTGAACCGAACATGAAATCAATAAATTATGGTTTGTTACTACTAATCAAGAACGGTTAGCACAAATGTTAAACATATCAAACTAGTGTCAAATACGAATGATTCAATTCTGGCCCGTCAACTTGATTAGCTGTATTTGTTTAAAAAATAAAATAAAATTCTCGATATTGTATATTTCTTCAACCAACCCAAATGCAACAAAGCTTGTCAAGTCATTTGACACGATTAATTAAACATAATGACCCTTTTAGAACTGCCTCCGTAAGAAGCACTTCTGCTAACACAAAGCACTTACTACTAGTTGCTTCTCTATATACTGCTTTTATGACTTGTAAATAATTTTAAATTTTTCTGCTAAATATTTTTAGAAACGCTTTTAACTATTTCAGAAGCAGTTCCAAACATGCATGACTGACTCAACTCGATTACCACCCTAGTTATTTGGGCCTTCAGAGAATCAAAACATTTGGGCTTCTACAGCTTCAAGAAATTTGGGCCAATCCGAAACCTTGTATCTTCCAATGTACAGTTCTAAAAGACGGCCAATACAATTGCACAGTTTCAGTGAGCACCCAAACGCAGCTCTTTGTCCCCTTCAGCTGAATCAGCTCTACAACGCCCCTCAGTTTGGTTCGTCCACATTCAATCCAAACCCCTATCCTTCAATTCTCATACGCAATCTGATATATGTGCTTCAGAAGATTGAGAAAATTAGGGTTTCAATTTGTTTGTTATTTGATTTTCTGATCCATTTCCTGTTATTGCGCAGCAGAGAAAGAGAGGAGAGTATTGACGATCGAGCATGGGAGGAGGTGAACATGCACACGGAGATGGGGCCCGCGGAGACTTCAGGGCCAAGGTGTGGAGCATGAGTGGGGGTCCGTACTGTAGGCCCAAGCACTGGAAGCGCAACACCGCCATTGCCATGGCCGGCATCTTCCTTGTCTGCATTCCTATCGCCATGAAATCTGCCGAGCTCGAGGTCTTTTTTTATTACCTAATCTCATCCCTATATTTTTCCTCTCGTTTCCTTAAAATGTTTTTAGATTTCCGTTTGGTTCTTGAGAAAATGTAGAAATCTGAAGGAATACAAGTTTTGGATCTTGGATTATAAAATTGTTAGGACCTGAATGCTCACTAAGCTTGACTGAACTGAACCTAGCTATCATAACTTCTTTGGATTTAGTTGAGGTTTAGATTTTTTCTTGTTGAAATTAAGCAAATGACTACCTATGTACGCCTTCCAGATTTATTTTGTGAAATAGTCAGTTGCTTTTTTTCCATGGTTTGTGGGAGTAATGAGGAGTACAGTGGATTATATACAAGATGATCTGGGATTACGGGTATTACTAGTTCTGATCAGGGTGGAAGATTGTCATCGTGATTGTAGGTTTGTCAACTTGTGATTGAAAGGGTCTTGCTTTGCAATGTGAGTGGTAGACTTGGAAAAATTGAGTAAACAGATGAATTTAGGTTACTGTATGAGTATAACCATAACTTAAATAAACAATTAAAATGTGATGGTGATAGCTGTGAGTTAGAGTTCTTCAAAACTTAATGATGCTTTAACCTGAAGGGAAAACTCATGAAATCTAGTATCTAAGATAACTAGAGGATTGAATTAAGATATGCTTAAAAACATTCCGTGGACTCTTGACCTGAGTAGGCTTTGCTGTGACATGGTTTTTGAACTTTATTTTGATTTGGATAAAAGGTTTGCCAGCTTGAGTGCTTCCTGTCCTTTTGTTCTTGGGCCTCCTGTAATCAATTTTCTAGATAAGTATGACCTATTAAATACTTAACAAGCTACTAGTATTAGAGACCTTCATGCTAAAAGTGGTTTTTCATTTTAATGAACTGTAAGATGTTCCTTGAGATTCATTTTTTATTTATTTATAAAAATATGAGAAGCGTTGAGTTTCATTTAGTTATGGACTTCTTATTGTTATAGAACATTACATACCTTTTGGCACCTGTAAGGTTGTTCTGTTACAAACAGTTCAATTATAAAACAAATTCTGCACAAAGATGTTGTAACTTATAAATGGTGACATATATCTTATTTTTTCTGATAACAATGCACATGGGCGGAAATTATTGACTCTTATGTGCCTTTAATTGATGTAATTTGTGGTAGGGTTTATGATTCTTTTTTGGCAGTAAAAATCTGCTTGTGCATACTTGCTGACTTTGATAAGATTGTTACATTTCACGGTGTTAACATTAATTTTTTGCTAAACGTACTGTCCGGAAGATCCAAGGGTCTTTAGAAATATTTTTTCCAAGTAGGGTAGGCTTTTTCTTTTTGGTTTTATCTTAGTGTGAACAAGAATGAGCATTTTGGGAATTATTTTTTTGGAAGATTCCCTAGATTCTTGACCTGAGTAGCCTAGAAGCTCAACTGTTAAAACACAAAACATTGTTGATACTAATTTCTAGGCTTGTTTCTTATACTTAAGTTATTGAAGATTAGGGCTAAAGTGCATGTTTCCTTGTCATGGACGTAAAACTTATGTTCTACTCTAAACGGCCACTCAATAATAGATATGTTCTAGCTGAAGCCCCTAGGCTAAGGATGCATACAGTATTAGATTACTAGCTGGCCAGAACAATTATGTCCATGCCCTTGTTGAAGTATGACGAATCACATCCATCTTTGCTTACAGATTTTTAATGCCTGGGAAATAACGTTGTTTAGTTGTTGGTTAGCCATGTCATACTTTTTATATATCATGAAAACTTTATGTAACTAAAAAACGTTAAGTGGTTCATATTAATATTTTATTTCCTTGGAATAATGACAGAAGGATATGTTGTTTAGTTTCTTTGCATCAGCAAAAGGTTGTCTTTGTTATATTATATCTTTGGGGTGCTTCTTATGCTTAATAGTCCTTAATAATCCTCTTATTCTAAAAGATATTCCTTAATAATGCATGTATGTGGGCTTAAGTTTTTTAATTACTTATCCCAAAAGGCAAACATTTCTGGTGGGATCAGATGCTGTTCCTCTTGAATGGATTTGAGCCACACCCTTTCTATGGTTGAATGACTGAAAATGTTCATAAACTGTGGTAATTATTAGTTCTAAGAGGACTTATATCTTATTGCAGCAACGGCCACATAATCCTGTGCGCCCTATCCCATCACAACTCTGGTGCAAGAACTTTGGAAACAAAGACTACTGAGTTTATTTAGGACCGTCGGGTGAAAGCAGTACCAGCGGAGGTTGGGTATCTAAATCTTGCAGAACGCAAATTATTCCTTGTATTGGATGTTTGCAGAGAATATGAGCAGCCTTTTAACACATGTTGTGTTCATGTTTTCGTAATCTTGAATTTGTTAGTGATTATGTGAGTTATTATTCACTTTGCTATACTGTCAATCTCCAAAATAAATTGTCTACCTCTGTGTCTAGCTTTTGTTAATAAAGTATTTGAATTGGCCTTGGATGATATTGTTTGGTTGCCATAGAATCTTTAAATATTTACAAGACAAGAAAGAGGTCTAGACATTTAAAGCCAAACCACATATTTGAGGGATAAATGGGGAAATAAGAAAAGGTGTTGGAGTAGATTTACCCCATTTCAGGTTGCCACAGGCTAGCAGTCAATATATGCTCAAAAGATTTTGTTCTGTTGCATCACTCAAATGGAATCAAATTCCAATCTGCTTGACTTTGAATTCATTGGTTTTCCTCATACAAAGTATATAAAACTTTTGATTTGGCAGCAGTGTGCAGGTCAATTTTGGCCATCTGAAGCTCCTAGATTGCTTCCAACAATTACTTTTTTTAATTTTTGTATAATTTTTTTAATATCCAACCCTAGCCGCTAGGTGAGGTTCTTGCACATTTATTCTAAATTCCCTCCACACACAACATGCACAAGAAAAATTCTTCTTTTACAATCTACCGGGGCAGGTTTCTACTACCAGGGGTGTGCATTCAAACCGGAAAACCCAGTCGAAGATATAAGATTAAATAATTAATTTTATTGATTAGAAGGGACAAAGGAATAATTAACTTGACAAAGTAAAATTATACGTAGTTGGAGATATTTATTAGGGGGAAGTGCTCTTTCTTTCTGAAGACAAGACTGAGTTTGGTGTTCAGCCAATTCGATTCGATCATTCTCTACAATTATTATTATTTATTGATTATTAGTTGTCATGACTCGTGACTTCTGCACAGCCACAGCGCAACAAAGCTTTGATTTGACCTTTCTCCCCCAATAATTGTCATATCAATTACGTCAAAAAATCACTTTTATCCTCCATCCATTCGTAACAAAAAGCTCTGAGTCGGGCTTAAATTATCCGAATTTTCACTTTGAATTCATTCTGTAAATTATCCGAATTTTCACCTTTGAATTCATTCTGTAAATAATTAAGTTGAGATTTCCATCCATGGATTACTTGTCGCATCTCATTATGATTTGTTCGTTTTTCACTTAAAATGAATTTGGGATTTTTGCTGAACATTCTTTCATAGTGTTAAGAGTGGTTATGCTTCAAATTTGTTTTAGGGTTTATTTTTGAAAGTTTGGGAATTGTTTGATTTGGGATTTTAATTAGAACGGTCATGCATGGGCTCTACCCCCTCTTTTGAGAAAATAAAAAAAAATTGGTGTTAATAATCAGCATGTTATATAGCCTAATATTGTCCAGAGTAAACAATTACCATACCCTTATAAGCCTAACTTTACTTCCATTCCTTGTCATTAAAAACAAAAAACAAAATCAGTCCATCGATATGAATACTTAGTTTCACCCTTATAAAGGTCTTCCGTATTTTTTGAGGTGTCTCCACACTCGAAGGATGTGATTAGTCTTCACTCATAATTCTGCTTGCTCTAACTACAAAGTGCTTCTAACGGGTTTCAAATCCCTGCCATTGATGTATTAAATAGCTCGCCAATTGGATATGATAGTTTGCCAACCGTATCACATCTTGTGATTAGCTTCAATTTCTTTCACTACAGCTTATCAATCCTTAAACTGTTTTGTGATTCGAAAGCTTTGTTACAAACTTTAAAACCCCTATAGAATCTATGTTACTCGAAAGGATATTTGTTTGGAAACCCCAAGAGTAACAAAAATAGTCACATGGTAAAATCCACATATGTAGATGAGTCAGCATTTCTCAGTGGTCCCACAAGAAGCAGCCGACGCTTTTAACCCAACCCAACCCAATTCAACCCAATTTAACCCAACCCAACCCAACCCAGTTCTTAGGGCGTCTCTCCAGTCAAACTCGTCCGCTTGCCAATCTACAGTTCGCAAATGAACCCTCTCTCTCTCTCTCTCTCTCTCTCTCTCTCTCTCCCCTATTTAAAGGACCACATTCGCATATATACGCCGCTATCACACTGCCCAATGTTCCTTCGGGCAGCTTTCCCTCTTCTTCTCTGACCACCCACAGTCCTACTTCCGCGTATTCTCTACCTGCCCAAAAATCCCGGTCAGCTCTACTCTCTCTCTATTCCAATTCAACAGCTCTACTCTCTCTCTTCAACTCATCAGCAAAGCTGCTTCTATTTTCACAGACACACACACACGAGTCACGACCTTTGGACCAAAGAAAACCCCTAAAAAATATATATATATTAATATAAAAAGCAAAAATATAATAGTCAAAATAAAAAGGGGTTCGAAAATAAAATGCCTTTACTATAAATACATCCCAAGTCACACTCAGTCGAAAGCATTGGTTTTATTGTTGTTACTCCTTTTTTGGTGATTTTCTCTGTTATCTCTGAGCTGAGCGTTTTGTGAGGATGGATTAGGAGCTCGTGCTGACTTTGAGTTTTCGTTTTGGAAATTCCTGTAGGGCTCGCAGAATGTGGAACGCAGCGCGATTCGCCGCGTCCAGTTTGACCCGATCGACCAGGCGCTTCTCCACGGCGATTCCTGGTCCCTGTATTGTCCACAAGCGTGGCGCTGATATTCTCCATGATCCCTGGTTCAACAAGGTTCGAAAACAACAGCCTTCTCTTTTGTTCTTTGATTTGAGTTGAGTTTAGTGTATGTTCATCAGACAGAGTTTCTTGATTAAGAAAGTAAATGTGAAGTTTTATTTTAAATTTTGGAGAAATTTTAGTTGTAAAACTGATTGAGCTTTGGTGAATTATAAAAATACAAACTTAGTCCAATTTGTGAAGTGGATGATGCCTCAAAGTTTGATGATTTTTTTTGCCTTATTGGGTTTTAATTCTCTGTTCTGAATGTTTGTTTTCCTCAAGAGCAGGACACTGGATTTCCTTTGACAGAAAGAGATCGACTTGGGCTTCGGGGTCTCCTCCCACCTCGTGTCATATCGTTCGAGCAGCAATATGCTCGTTTCAGTGAGTGTCTTACACAATCTCTCCAAATAGTACACATTTTAATATTGTTTGGCTAGAATTTTGGTTATTATTCTTCAAAGAAATCTATTGGGGTTCATCTTTATAGCACTTGACATACACTAAGCTAGGAGACTTCAATCAATAACTTAGTTTACGAATGATATATTAGCCCTTGAGGAGATTTTGTTTATAAGTTTTGTAGCTTTGGCATTGAGGCCTTGTTTATGTAATGACATTACCATCTGATTTAACTTGTTAGTGGAGTCGTATCGGTCTCTAGAGAAAAATACTAAGGGCCAACCAGAAGGTGTTGTTGCCTTGGCTAAATGGAGGATCTTAAACAGGCTGCATGACAGGAACGAGACCTTATACTACCGTGTAAGTTTTGGTTTATATTTCCAGCATGTAGATATTGTAGAACTTTATATAATCTATCATCATTTGATATGGTTTTCCATTACTTTCTTTTCCAGGTCCTTATTGATAACATCCAAGATTTCGCTCCTGTAATTTACACTCCTACAGTAGGATTGGTATGTCAAAATTATTCAGGGTTATTCAGACGTCCACGTGGAATGTATTTCAGTGCAAAGGATAAAGGGGAGATGATGTCTATGATCTACAATTGGCCAGCTCACCAGGTAGATGCTACACTCTTTTGTTTTTCTACCTTACAACAAAGTTGTACATGGTCAATAATTTTTGAGGCCCAGTCATAAGCTCCAATGATCTTGATGTTTCTCTATTGGGATGTCCATGATTTTTCAAGACATCAAAATATTAATTTTTTATATTATTCCCTCTGTCTCTAAGTTATGTTGTATTTGGTCTTCATTTTCCACTTTATTGCAGGTAGACATGATAGTCCTGACAGATGGCAGTCGTATCCTTGGCCTAGGTGATCTTGGAGTTCAGGGAATTGGAATACCGATAGGAAAACTTGATATGTATGTTGCTGCAGCCGGCATTAATCCACAGAGAGTATGCTCCTGCTCTCTCTCTCTCTCTCTCTCTCTCTCTCTCTCTCTCTCTCTATATATATATATATATATATACACACACACACACACACACACACACACATTATACACACATATATATAGTCCCCTATCCCTCAAATAAGCTTATTTGAGAGACACTCTTGTAGGGCCCACTCCGTATTTTATTTCATTCAAAGATCATCTCTACAAAAAATCATTTGAATCTAATATCATTTGACAACTCAATTGAATTATTGAAATTTTAGTATTTTCTTAAAGCACCGTGTTCATTGATTTTGTAGGACACAATTGGATGTCGAAATGGTTTCCGATTTGTCTAATTTTTTGCAAGGATCATCTATGAATATAGACTTAAAAAATAGATTGTTTGGATCGTTGAAAAAAAAAAATTGTAGGGGACCCTAAAGGGTGTCCCTCAAATAAAGTTATTTGAGGGATCCCTCAATAGAAGGGGACTGTGTGTGTGTGTGTGTATATATTTTATGCATGCACGTGTGTGTGCACATGCTTATTTCTATGTGTGTGCTCATAACACACTGATTCAACATAGCTAAGTCTATTTGGTTTGGACTATATAACAGTCTTGGAGTCTACATTTTATGTGTCTGCTATTATTCATATTACACTTTTCTTGGTAAATAAGCAGTTTGGCTAGCTTTTTGATCACTAACCTCTGTACCCCTGTGACAGATACTACCGGTTATGCTTGATGTTGGTACTAACAATCAAAAGCTACTTGAAGACCGTCTTTGTAAGTAAAATATGAAGTAAATATCTTTCCTTTAATTGCATGGTTCTTTCTAATCTTTTTTCTTTTCTTTTCTTTTCTTTTGTTAAATACTTGTTGATACTGTATTTCCTGATTAATACATTCAACTGAACGCAACTGTAGCTTCAGCGATTTACAATGTGTTTAAGTTCTTGTAAGGCAACATAGTGATACTGAATGTTCACTCTGTCTGTTTTCTCAAGCATGAATTACCCTGTTTTGAGTGATAAATTGACTCCCAAAATATGACTCAGGATAAGCATGTAGTTTGACTAGTGCATGTTAGAGTTTATTATTATTTTTTTAATTTCTAATGAATTCTTGTTAATAATATCATGTTATATTCTTGGTTTTTTTTTCTTTCTTTCCATCTTTACACTGAATGACTGGACTTAATGCTTTAAAATTTTATAGTTTACATCACGAGGATGCCTTTTCTCATGATTTTAGTTGGATAGATTTAGGACTTCGACAACGTAGGTTGGAAGGAGAAGAGTACATATCAATTGTTGATGAATTCATGGAAGCTGTTCATACACGTTGGCCCAAGGCCATTGTGCAGGTCTATTTTTGAGAAGTATTAACCTTTTATGTTAGTATGGTTTTTTATTTGTCTAGTAACTTGATTGTTTTTACTTTTATCAGTTTGAGGATTTTCAAATGAAGTGGGCTTTTGAAACGCTGCAACGTTATCGTAAAAGGTTTTGCACATTCAATGATGATATACAGGTGATTACAGGGTGTATGTCTTTCTATCTTTTATGGATTTGAAAGGCATATGTAGTGTAATACAGATTGCTACTATTCGAAAATCAGTACCTCTGATAGTTGCGCTTCATGTATTGTAGGGAACTGCCGGTGTTGCACTTGCAGGATTATTAGGAGCTGTGAGAGCCCAAGGTCGACCATTGGCTGACTTTGTGAAACAAAAGATAGTTGTTGTGGGAGCTGGGAGGTACTTGACATTGGTCGTTGACTCAGAAAGATCCCTATATAGGCTATTACATTGGTTGCATGTGCATGTTACTAGGCACTCTGTTCATCCCTTTAATTCACTTTTTTGCCTTTCAGTGCCGGACTTGGTGTTCTTAACATGGCTGTACAGGCTGTTGCAAGAATGGCAGGGAACGGTGAAGCTGCTGCAAAATATCATTTCTTTCTGATTGATAAAGATGTATAGCTCTATGTCAACTCTTTAAGTTCTTGGAGTACTTTGTGTGATGATTGATAGTTGTAACAATATTCACCACATTCAGCAAATTTATTCACTAACGAGCTTATGGTTTTGTCAACTGTTTACTATAATTACACTCTCATTTTTGTTGATATTGCTAACCTTCTGGTGTGAACAAAAGGGACATATAATCAAATGTGTTCTTGAAAATATTTTGGCCTCTGAGTTGGGTATTTATGTAAATGTATCAGAGGATTCACTGAGAAAAATTGTTTGGATACAGGGTCTAGTCACAAAAGAGAGGAAGAATCTTGATCCTATGGCTGCACCCTTTGCAAAAGAACCAGGAGCAATTGATGGGCTTAGGGAGGGAGCTAGTCTAGTTGAAGTGGTAAATCTCAAAGGACTTCATTTAAGTACCCTCTACTGCAGAAAGTAGAAAGATTTGATACATAAGAGTCAAGTCACCTTGCTTAATACAAATTACCTTCAAGATTATACATAATTAATAAAACTTTAATTGTTTAGAGCCCAATTTTGTGCAGGTTAAGAAGGTCAAGCCCCATGTGCTTCTTGGTTTGTCTGGAGTTGGTGGTGTCTTCAGTCAAGAGGTTGATACTTTCTCAATAGCATTTGGTTATATTTTACAACCTCCTTATCACTTAAAGTAGATTAATTTACCGAAGATGATTTGATTCTGTTTGGATTTGTGTTGTTTTGACACCATGTGGCCTTGCACTGAATGATTTTTTATTACTGAACTATATGTTTTCTTGTGTCAGCAACTGACATTCATGCGTAATGCTTAAACCATTTATTTGAATGTAAGAGTATCTAAGAGAGATAAGCCTGTTATCTGTACTGCCCTAGATTTATAAATTTCTTCACACCAATTCCCACTTTGAATTTCAGTGTTTCTGATTCACATCACATCATTTGAGGTATGATAACTCAGTTATTTTGTTATTCTGACCATCATACAGATGCACTGATGGGTTTACTTCATATTGTAGAATTTGAAAATTCATTGCTCTACCCTATTTGTTGTCTCAATTGTGGAAAATATTTAGAGATATTTAGTGATATACCCATTCTTAGCACTAATATTATAGATAAACCCTGCATCATTGAATTTCTATAAACAAACCCAAAAAAACCCCCAAAAATGACAGCTGGCCTTATTGAATTTAATATTGATTATTAAATTACTTTAATGCCCTATTGAGTGTTTTGGGTATTTTTATGAGATTTTGGGGTTGGGCTTGTTTTAAGAAATTTATGGTAGTTTTGTAATTTATAAGAAGTTAAAGCCTCTTTGTTATGTTGTAAATGAGTTTTGGGTGTGTTTATAAAGTTCATTTCATATGAGGTATTTTTATAATTTGGGCCCCCATATTAGGTATATTAGTGAATCCCCCAAATATTTATGGTTCCTTTTCTTTAAATTAGTTTCTTATAGGTATGGGTTGTAATTTCATTTTAGGTACTACAAGCAATGCGAGAGTCGGATTCAGCTAAACCTGCGATTTTCGCTATGTCAAATCCAACCATGAATGGTTTGTTTCTCTGAACCTCATCAAACCTCACAAACAATTTCCTTATTGCACCTAGATTTTGTATCTGACTCTGTTTTCCCTATGTTTTTTAAAAAACAAAAAATGGAACAGCTGAATGCACTGCTGAAGATGCTTTTAAGCATGCTGGTGAAAACATAGTCTTTGGAAGTGGAAGCCCCTTTGAGAATGTTGATCTTGGTATTTTCCTTTTTAGCAATGTCTTTCTGTTATGGATTGTTTTGGCACCATGCAATTAGAGCAATGGGTTCCTTGACTTAATGTTGGAGCCATTGCTGGCTACGATATGGTGCTACGAATCTGACTTTTTTGACTATTGTCTGAGTAATTTAACCTTTGACTTTTCTAATTATGTTGGCAGGCAATGGAAAAGTAGGCCATGTAAATCAAGCAAATAACATGTACCTCTTTCCAGGGTTAGTTTCCTGTATCTTCTTTATTTCAAGTAACTATGTTTAAAGCTCGAAATATTAATACCGTATTTTGGTTGCCTCTAAATGCAGGATTGGTTTAGGTGCACTTCTCGCAGGTGCTCGTCTAATATCAGATGGCATGTTACAAGCAGCTTCTGAATGGTAATAACATAAGACTTGGCTACTTCCTTGCTCTAACCTAAACATGGTAAAATAACTATGCTGATGAGACATAATTTACACTGTTATTAAAAGAAAAAAAAGGAAACAGAGTTGACACCTAAAAAAGAGTTGGGCTGTTTTTCCGGACTTTGGTATCAGCCTAGAAATTATTGTAGTGATTAGCTGACAGTTCTGGTAAGTGTCACTACAATAAGAAATGCTAAAGGTGAACATGGCTTGAAGTTTGAAATTAATTTCTGACACAATCATTCTGTCCAGCCTTGCTTCATATATAACAGATGAAGATATCCGAAAGGGCATCTTGTATCCATCTATTCACAGGTAATATTCTCAGCTCCTCGCAGCATTAAGAGCTCGTCTTTATCAAAAATGGCATCGCAATTCTCAACTGCTGTAACAACTGAGAGGAGGGTGGGGCAACTGGTTGATTGTATTACCCCTGACTGTTTCTATTGTATATGGTGCAGTATCCGACATCTAACAGTGGAGGTTGGAGCTGCTGTCCTGCGGGCAGCTGTTGCAGAAGAACTGGCCGAAGGACATTGTGATGTGGGGCCCAAAGAGCTCATGAACATGTCAAAAGTAAGAACTGATATTCAATCTTCCTTCCACAAAATACAAAAGCTCTTTTTAAAACACTCACAAAATGTCTAAGCGAATTTTGATTTAGAAAGCAAGCTCTAAATGTTAGACTACTTTTGCAAAAGGTCTGAACATGCCAAAGAGGACGTATTTAGGTGAAGGCGTATACATACAGAAAATGCTATTCTAACAAGCATCTAGTCGAACAACCATAACCAGGAACCTTGAAAATTGCTTAGCTAGCTTTTGCTTATATTGCCAGAGTTTTAGAAGAAAAATTGTAATTTTCCTCAAATCTATTTTGGTTTTTATCTTGCTGTTGCAGGAGGAGACTCTGGAATATGTGACTCGCAACATGTGGTTCCCAGTTTATAGCCCTCTTGTTCATGAAAAATGAGGCTTGGTTTTGTATTATCATACACAGTAGGCTGTTGTTGGAGGCTATATTTTTTTTGCAGCTCATATATCAATAGGTCTGCAGCTAAGCAACTTATTCTTGGTCTGTCTTTCCTGGATTCATAGTTTACAAGCTCAGAGAAGTAGAAGGCAAAGAAGGGAACAGAAATAAGGCCCTCGTACTAGACTGAAAAGAAAGTTGAAACCCATTTGTTTGAACAATGCATAATTACGTGACTAATATTAGTGCAATATCTTTGTGTTAACTTTCTTTTACGTTAACTTAATAACAAAGCAAACTGCACCCAAAAAAAAAGGTTCAGTTGACTTGACCTTCCCCTTTGGTTTTGGGCCAGTCCTGGGGTGCCTACTACTCGTTTCTATGAACGCCGAGAGTCTTGGGTAAGGCAGCCACATGTCAAATTACACTCACAGAAAGTTAAGACCTACATTCAGAGGATCTCGCCCTTATTTGAGTGTGCTACCAGTGCGGCGGTCCTATCTAAGATTTTTTCCTATCAGTGTGTGTATTTTAAATCTAGTGGGGATGAAAAAGTAAGGGAGAAAAAGACAGAAAAGGTCGTGTGTATGTAAGATTTGTTTCTTATGGAATAAGTTGATCCATGTTTCTATAGGATATTATTATTTACGTTATTAGTCAATTAGAGTAGTAAAATCCACCAGTCTTTGCATGCGAAACTGCTTACTCTGCCCTGCAACAGCCTTCACCAAAATTCTCCAACAACGTGGGTACTTGCGTCACCACGCCCCCATTCTTTTCCTTGAAAATCTTAATAAAAAAATCCAAACAAATCTTGGTCCCTCTTTCACCACAATTTCCAATTACTTGTAAGAAAACACTAGGAACAAAAGAATCAACAATTTTCTTCTTCTTATTATTTATTTGAATATGAACCTCAAAATTCAAAGGCTTTCCAAGAACATTTCACTATAAAAGAAAAGAAGGCTCTCCTTCTGTTTAATACACATCTCAATTCTCACAGGCCGTCCCGTTTCGAATCTATCAATGGCAGAAGCAACAAAGAGGTAGCACTTTAGACTTCTTTATGCTTTGTTTCCTTGTCCGATTTCCAATCCCTTTAATTGTTTTTGTTTCTATGAAATTGGTGTTTGTGTTTTTCCAGGTATGCAGTTGTTACTGGGGCAAACAAAGGCATAGGATTGGAAACTGTGAGGCAATTGGCCTCAAATGGATTCACTGTAGTTTTAACTGCCAGAGATGAGAAAAGGGGTCTTGAAGCTGCTGAGAAACTCAAAGAGTCTGGCCTCTCAGGTCAAGTGGTTTTTCATCAACTTGATGTGGCTAACCCTGCTACTGTTGCTTCTTTGGCAGACTTTATCAAAACCCAGTTTGGGAAACTCGATATCTTGGTATGTATATGATCATAGCTGCTGGTTTCTTGAAAAAGTTTGTCTTTTGAATTGAACTCTTAATCCGAACGCGATTTGATAGAAGGAGATGAAATATGGAATATAGAAAATGAAATTGGAGAATAAAAAGAGCAAACCAAGTAATAACTAGCTAATAATATCATCAAGAAGTTAATCTTTGAAATGATTAGAAGTCTTAGGCTTTTTGAAGAACAAAACAAGATTCACGTAACTACCAGTTGTGGAAGATTTTACTTTCAAATCTAACTCTATGTCTGCCACTCTTGTTTCTCGGAATCTTTTCATATATGATATGATCCCTTTCTGTACAATTTACAAGTACCCTAGAAAGATCAGCGGCTGGAATTAAGGGGTTTGGCAAAGTAGCATAATTATTGTGCTTCTTTAAAGGCATTGGCCTTTATGGTTGGTATGGTTGTAAAAACAAAGAGATTGTCAGAGTACTAAAAACAAGTGGAAATCTAAACAAAGAGTCGTGGTTTAGATTTGAGGTGGTTTGGTCAAGACAAATTAGAGAGCTTGGAGAACAAGTGGAGAAAAATCAGAGTTGCTGAATCCACTTTTCGCTTACTGCAAGCCAAGTTTGATGCAAAGTTGCATCAAATAGCGCTACATGCTTACAACTTCTTTGATTATTAGTCTGCATTTTTTTTCCTTAAGCTTTTATTTTGGTTATTAGAATGTGTTTTTGAATATTCAGTCTATTGTCTGGGAGTTTTCATGGTTCATACATACATTTAGGTTTTATACCTATTTGATGAGTCCTTTTGAATGAGGAATATATGTATGTTGGTATAATTAAAGTTCGCAGTCAGTAGAATTATTATTCATGACGCCTTAGAATCAGAGGATCTATCAACTTTCTTTTCATTTCATTTTCTATAAAAAAAAACAATCTGTTCTTTTCTTTGCTAAAAGAAAACAGAAAGTGAAACAGTTGGACTCTGCACAGGTGAACAATGCAGGGATTTTTGGAAGCATATTAGATGGTGATGCTTTTAAAGCTGTAATAGCCTCTGGTGCCACGGTAAGTCTTTTGCATAATTTTTATCAATAGCTAGCTATCAAAAACTAAAAAAAGCTTCAATGTATGTGCCAAAGTGAGAATTTAAACTTCAGACCAAAAAAAAAGAGTGAGAATTTAAACTGATCTGTGGTTTGGCAAACTTTAATCAACATTTTTCTTGTTTGGAGTGTTGTGTAAGTGGTGGGCAATAGGCACCATAATAATAAGTTTGTTTTTGCTGATACAGGAAAGAGGAGGAGTTGATTTGAGTAAACTAGTGATTGAAACTTATGAGTTCGCAGAAGAATGCTTGCAAATAAACTATTATGGTGCTAAAAGAACAGCTGAAGCACTTATCCCACTCCTCCAGTTATCAGACTCACCCAGAATTGTTAATGTTTCGTCTGGCGCGGGGAAGTTAAAAAACATACCAAACGATTGGGCTAAAGGAGTTTTTACTGATGCCGAAAACCTAACAGAAGAGAGAGTAGATGAGGTACTGACTGAGTTTCTAAAAGATTTCAAGGAGGGTTCATTTGAAAGTAAGGGCTGGCCTTCTTCTATGCCTGCCTATACAGTCTCAAAAGCAGCACTGAACGCATATACAAGGATTCTAGCAAAGAAGTACCTCAATTTTCGTATCAATTCGGTCTGCCCTGGCTTTGTCAAAACAGATATAAACTGCAATGTCGGTGTCTTGCCTGTCGAAGAAGGTGGTGCCAGGATTGTGAAGTTTGCATTGCTGCCCAATGATGGCCCTACTGGCTCCTTCTTTGTTCACAATGAAGTGTCAGATCTTTGATTAAAGATGATCCATTTATTCAAATTTAATAGGAGTCACTTATTGGGCAATATCTTGTACTGTAAGGTAATTTTGAATATTTTGGTATGTATATTGATTGAAGGATCATCTTTAATCAAAGATGATCTATTATTCATCTGGCTCTTAGACTCATATTATCATTTACAATGTTATTCAGTCAGAAATTCTATGTGATTGATGTCCGGTATTATTGGTAGTATTTCAATAACATTTTGGTATATTTTGTTAGACATAAATCAGAGACAATAATAATGACAGTCCATCATTTAATTAAGGACTAAGTGTAGAGAAGAATTGATTATTCAATATTATCCAACTTAAATTGTAATAGCACAATCGCAAACTTCTGCAGTCAATTGTGTAAACGAAGGCATATAATCCAAACAAATCTTGGTCCCTCTTTCACCACAATATCCACTTACTGCTAGAAAACATTAGAAGCATCCTCCCTCCAGTATGTATATAGGAACAAAAGAACCAACAACTTTCATCTTCTTCTTATTATTTATCTGAATATAATCCCCAGAATTCAAAGGCTTTTCAAGAACATTTCACTATAAAAGAAAAGAAGGCTCTTGCAGTTTAATACACATCTCCAAAGTCTTGTTCTCCCAACATCATCATTTTCCTTTTGACTATCATTTTCTTATTTTCTTTGTGTAGGCTCCATCTACACCCTTTACAACAGAATCAACAATTTTCTTCTTATTATTTATTTGAATATGAACCTCAAAATTCAAAGGCTTTCCAAGAACATTTCACTATAAAAGAAAAGAAGGCTCTCCTTCTGTTTGATACACATCTCAATTCTCACAGGCCGTCCCGTTTCGAATCTATCAATGGCAGAAGCAACAAAGAGGTAGCACTTTAGACTTCTTTATGCTTTGTTTCCTTGTCCGATTTCCAATCCCTTTAATTGTTTTTGTTTCTATGAATTTGTGTTTGTGTTTTCTTAGGTATGCAGTTGTTACTGGAGCAAACAAAGGCATGGGATTGGAAACTGTCAGGCAGTTGGCCTCAAAGGGGTTCACCGTAGTCTTAACTGCCCGAGATGAGAAGAGGGGTCTTGAAGCTGTTGAGAAACTCAAAGAGTCTGGCCTCTCTGGTCAAGTGGTTTTTCATCAACTTGATGTAGCTAACCCTGCTACTGTTGCTTCCTTGGCAGACTTCATCAAAACCCAGTTTGGGAAACTCGATATCTTGGTATGTATATGATCATAGCTGCAGGTTTCTTGAAAAAGTTTACGTCTTTTGAATTTAACTCTTAATCCGAATGTGATTTAATTGAAGGAGATGAAATATGGAATCATATAGAAAATGAAATTGGAGAATAAAAATAGCAAACCAAGTAATAGCTAGTGTAATAATATCATCAACAAGTTAATCTTTGAAATAATTAGAAGTCTTAGGCTTTTTGAAGAACAAAACAAGTTTCACATAACTACCAGTTGTGGAAGATTTTACTTTCAAATCCCTTTCTGTATAATTTACAAGTATCCTAGAAAGATCAGTGGCTGGAATTAAGGGGTTTGGAAAAGTAGCATAATTATTGTGCTTCTTTAAAGGCATTGGCCTTTATGGTTGGTATGGTTGTAAAAACAAAGAGATTGTCAGAGTACTCAGAGGATCTATCAACTTTCATTTCATTTCATTTTCTATAAAAAATAAATCTGTTCTTTTCTTTACTAAAAGAAAACAGAAAGTGAAACAGTTGGACTCTGCACAGGTGAACAATGCAGGGATTTTTGGAAGCATATTAGATGGTGATGCTTTTAAAGCTGCAATAGCCTCTGGTGCCGCAGTAAGTCTTTTGCATAATTTTTATCAATAGCTAGCTATCAAAAACTAAAAAAAGCTTCAATGTATGTGCCAAAGTGAGAATTTAAACTGATCTGTGGTTTGGCAAACTTTAATCAACATTTTTCTTGTTTGGAGTGTTGTGTAAGTGGTGGGCAATAGGCACCATAATAATAAGTTTGTTTTTGCTGATACAGGAAAGAGGAGGAGTTGATTTGAGTAAACTAGTGACTGAAACTTATGAGTTCGCAGAAGAATGCTTGCAAATAAACTATTATGGTGCTAAAAGAACAGCTGAAGCACTTATCCCACTCCTCCAGTTATCTGACTCACCGAGAATTGTTAATGTTTCGTCTGGCGCGGGGAAGTTAAAAAACATACCAAACGATTGGGCTAAAGGAGTTTTTACTGATGCCGAAAACCTAACGGAAGAGAGAGTAGATGAGGTACTGACTGAGCTTCTAAAAGATTTCAAGGAGGGTTCACTTGAAAGTAAGGGCTGGCCCTCTATGCCTGCCTATATAGTCTCAAAAGCAGCACTGAACGCATATACAAGGATTCTAGCAAAGAAGTACCTCAATTTTCGTATCAATTCGGTCTGCCCTGGCTTTGTCAAAACAGATATGAACTGCAATGTCGGCGTCTTGCCTGTTGAAGAAGGTGGTGCCAGGGTTGTGAAGTTTGCATTGCTGCCTAATGATGGCCCTACTGGCTCCTTCTTTGTTCACAATGAAGTGTCAGATTTTTGATTGAAGATGATCCATTTATGCAAATTTAATACAAGTCATTTATTGGGCAACATCTGGTACTGTAATTTAATTTTAAGTATTTTGGTATGTATATTGATTGAAGGATCTAGTGCGTTGTTTACATTTCTACTATTCATCTGGCTTTTGGACTCATATTATCATTTACAATGTTATTTAGTCAGAAATTCTATGTGATTGATGTCCGGTTTTATCGATAGTATTTCAATAACATTTCGGTATATTTTGTTAGACATAAATCAGAGGATAAGTGTAGAGAAGAATTGATTATTCAATATTATCCAACTTAAATTGTAATAGCACAATAGCAAACTTCTGCAGTAAATTGTGTAAACGAGGGCATAGGATTGGAAACTGTCAGGCAGTTGGCCTCAAAAGGATTCACTGTAGTCTTAACTGCCAGAGATGAGAAGAGGGGTCTTGAAGTTGTTTGGGAAACTCTAAGAGTCTGGCCTCTCTGGTCAAGTGGTTTTTCATCAACTTGATGTAGCTAACCCTGCTACTGTTGCTTCCTTGGCAGACTTCATCAAAACCCAGTTTGGGAAACTTGATATCTTGGTATGTATATGATCATAGCTGCTGGTTTCTTGAAAAAAGTTTCTGTCTTTTGAATCTAACTCGTAATCCAAATGCGATTTAATTGAGGGAAATGAAATATGGCATTGGAGAATTAAAATAGCAAACCAAGTAATAACTAGCTTAATAATATCATCAAGAAGTTAATCTTTGAAATAATTAGAAGTCCTAGGCTTTTTGAAGAACAAAACAAGTTTCACATAACTACGAGTTGTGGAAGGTTTTACTTCCAAATCCAACTCTATGTCTGCCACTCTGTTTTTGTTTCTTGGAATCTTTTCATATATGATATAATTCCTTTCTGTACAATTTACAAGTACCCTAGAAAGATCAGTGGCTGGAGTTGAGGGGTTTGGCAAAGTAGCATAATTATTGTGCTTCTTGAAAGGCATTGGCCTTTATGGTTGGTAATAGTATGGTTGTAACAACAAAGAGATTGTCAGAGTAACCAGAGGATCTATCAACTTTCTTTTCATTTCATTTTCTACAAAAAAATGTCTGTTCTTTTCTTTGCTAAAAGAAAACAGATAGTGAAACAGTTGGACTCTGCACAGGTGAACAATGCAGGGATTGGTGGAAGCATAGTAGATGGTGATGCTTTAAAAGCTGCTGTAACCTCTGGTGCCATGGTAAGTTTTTTGCATAATTTTTATCAATAGCCATCAAAAACTAAAAGCTTCAATGAATGTGACAAAGTGAGAATTTAAACTGATCTGTTGTTTGGCAAACTTTAATCAACATTTTTCTTGTTTGGGGTGTGTGTAAGTGGTGGGCAATAGGCACCATAATAATAAGTTTGCTTTTACTGATACAGGAAAGAGGAGAAGTTGATTTGAGTAAACTAATGACTGACACTTATGAGTTAACAGAAGAATGCTTGCAAATAAATTATGGTGCTAAAAGAACAGCTGAAGCACTTATCCCACTCCTCCAGTTATCAGACTCACCTAGAATTGTTAATGTTTCGTCTTCCATGGGGAAGTTAAAGAAGATACCAAGCGATTGGGCTAGAGGAGCTTTTACTGATGCCGAAAACCTAACAGAAGAGAGAGTAGATGAGGTACTGACCGAGCTTCTAAAAGACTTCAAGGAGGGTTCACTTGAAAGGAAGGGCTGGCCTTCTTCTATGCCTGCCTATACAGTCTCAAAAGCAGCACTGAACGCATATACAAGGATTCTAGCAAAGAAGTACCTCAATTTTCGTATCAATTCGGTCTGCCCTGGCTTTGTCAAATCAGATATAAACGTCAATACCGGCGTCTTGCCTGTCGAAGAAGGTGGTGCCAGGATTGTGAAGTTAGCATTGCTGCCCAATGATGGCCCTACTGGCTCCTTCTTTGTTGACAATGAAGTGTCTGATCTTTGATTGAAGATGATCCATTTATGCAAATTTAATACGAGTCGCTTATTGGGCAACATCTTGTACTGTAATGTAATTTTAAGTATTTTGGACACCAACAGATCCTTTTGACGTTCTTTCTACATTCAATAAGAGGATGGCATATATGATGTTTTATCTATGTAAAATTTCACTAAAGCACACTGTTTAAATAACAAAAGAAAAGGTCAGGTGTTTCTGTCCTAACCGGATGCTCCCAGCTGACTTGATGACCTTCCCCTTTGGTGTTAGGGGAAAGACTTAGCTGTCCTAGGGTGACTACTCCTTGTTCTTTCCTGTAGCATCTTGTGATGTATGCAAGTTTCTTGCGTTTTGAGAAGAGAGACAACGCTGCCAAATAAGGCTAAAAGAGTATTGAGTAAGGCAGTCGCATCTGAAATCACATACACAAGGAGTTTTTTTTTCTTTTAGAAATGGAATTCATTCGTAGAATCAAAGTAGCGTATATAGAACGACACGAAACAATGACCTAGTTAAAACATTGCTGAGGGACAAACTCCAGGGTAGGAAAGAATACCACATATATCATTGACTAACAAGAGAGTCTGAAACAGTCACGCATGACCAATGCTAGAGCAAGATAAAATAAAACATCCAACTGACACATAGACCTCCGACGAGAACACTATAACACAATCCAATTGCCAAAAGAGTCATGCTATGAAATTATAGTCCTTTTGACGCAGTGAGATATCGGCCGAGATAGAGAGATCGAATGGTAACCCTACAAGTAACAATGTCGGAATCCACCAACAAACTGAAATCCACCAGAGAAATTGAGTAAACTTGAAATATATTGATTGAAAATAAGATGAATAAACTGACAAATACAATGCCATGAGTTGGCTTAAATATAAAACAAAGAAACCCTAAAACCGTAGGAAACCCTAGGTTCTAGCATATTCCTAAACTTACCTAACAAGAAAATAATAAAAATCATAGCTAAAATCTTAATAAGAAAATAATATCTTAATAGATAACTTATTTTTCCAAATATAAAATAAAACATTAAATTAAATACAAATCTTGACAGAATCATAATTGCTTCAAACTTCCTTAATCAATTAGAAAATCCCAACAATACGCCTTCCTTATTTTCCTAGCACCATAATTGACATTTAATTGGAATTTTCCTCTCTTGCATGATTTTCTTCCAACTTTGAGCCACTCAACTTTATTTTAATTAATTTTTCACACTTCGTCCTACATCACCTTTGCACAGCCACAAGACATTGAGAGCACCTGACAGAGAACACAATACACCAAGAAGAAAGAAAACATCCACTAAGTACACCATCTCTAGCCAACTCCAATAGCAAT